TGTGTGTTTGTCTAGATTCAGAGTGCAAGTTAAGAGAAAGCATCTTATATACATATCAAACATTGAAATATTTCATCAAGTGTATGGAAAAGCTTATTTTAGTTCCTCTTTTTTGTATAAATACTGGAAGATGTTTCTTTGAAGCATATGAACTGTAATATAGATTACATATTGACAATGTTTCACATGATGAATGAGTGTTGAATGTTGAGTGTCTGGAGTATTTGATAATTAATTGTTGTTTGTTATATTCTTTTAAAAGAATTTTTTTGTTATGAAATAAAAATTAATTGAACACATCTTGTATGTTATACATCAAGCATGAAGAATAGTACTAGTTTCTGCAGATAACTTTTTGAATTTTCTAATAGCGTTAAAACGTTGCAATAATTAAACTTCATTACTGAAATATAAAGAGATATAGCTAGCATTATGTTTAAAACGATAGTATTATAATTACAATGATGAAAAATAGTTTTATCATAGCTTTTGATGTGGTAGTATTTGTCTATATTCCTCAAATGTATCTATATTGACAGTATGTAATACTGAAGTTGCATATTTGAAGGCGACGAGTCGATAGATTCGATGTCTTTTTTTATCAGGAACTTCATATTCTAGAAAAACATTTTAGCGATTTTTAGTTTTAAAGATTCTGTAAAAATCGCAGTCACCGATACCGTTAGAACCTGCCTTAAGTGTTTAACTAAAAATACACTAAACAGAATGCTTGAGGTAGCAGATGTGAACTTCGAAACACCTTCCAAAAACATCCAGCAACTCCTTCTACATTTAAATAAAATTTTGATAAATAATAACATGATGACATAGCAGCAACACAACTGCTGTCAAATGTACCACAATCACCAATATTACTCCAAAAGGCACTCTATATTTTGTCTATTGATAGCTATTCGTGAACTCGTGAAAATGGCAACCCGAATATCAAAATGAAATATCTAGGTAAGCAAATACTAACGAAAAACAAAAGAATCGCAAGAGTTAAGGAGAAAAACCTTTATTTGTTTGATCAATGTTTAAGAAAACATGGAAGAATAAAGTATTTCAACAACCGGATAAAATTAATTCGGAAAAAATGAACCGATCCTTTCATCCCTGATGTAGCCTATGTGTATATCAATTCTCCGTTGAAGTCATTAGCCTTCAGCGTTTTTTTAAAATTGATTGTGAAGATTACAGGACGGCTTTGTGATACCTAGATATAATACAGAAATAATTAGTCATGTATGTGGTTTACAAAAATGTAACGTTGTATATGATACATTAAGAATTTACAACACTTTAAATGAAACATATATATCTAAACACAGATTTCAGAGCAATCGGTTATAATGAATATAGCTCACTTACCCATTCAACAAATGTAACATGGTTCAGAACAACTTTTCAAAGAATACCAAATACATAAACAGACACGATTTATGCTCCTTTATCGACGACAATTTTGGTCAAAAACAGAGAATCTAACATTAGAAATATGACAACGAAACCACCAGACATACTTCATATTAATATCAAGCCAAATATTATCAACTATGTGCTAATCAGAAAACAATTTCGTTGAAGTCCTTAAAGCTCAGTTTCAGACTGTACCAAAGACACACCAGTGGAAAGCACCTTACAATTGTATAAATTATATACAGTAGAGTAGAAGAATGTATTTAACCGCGCCATACAGCTGTTTCGTCCTTCTAGGACCTTAGTTTTGAAACCTGTTGAGCCTTTCGATTGGTTTATCTTTGTAACGTAGGTTATATTTCTGTACATTTCATAGTTTAAATGAAGATATGCATGATCTTGAAGTTGAGAATTGTGTTTTCTCGCGGTAATATATACAATATGCTATTTAATTGATTTTTTAACTTGAACAATGTTATATAATTTCTAAAAAAAACTCCTGTAGGAGTGCTAAAAGAGGGTATGTTTATCGAAGTGTTGCTTCGTCCTTTAGACTACATAAAACAGGAGAGAAAATCGGAACAATATCAACACAAATTTGTTTGTTTGAAGAGGTGTATTGAGCTGTAATATTTTTCCCATTTTATGTTTCTAGAGGAGGTTCCCAATTATACTAGATAATTTAGAGAAGGATGTATAATACTGTATCATACGTTTTTGCTGTAGTTTATTTTTAATTATTACTTTAAAGCCCACAAAATTACACACTACAGAGTCGTATCACAAATTGTCTGATATAAAACACATACAATAATATTTATCATAATATTGACATAACAAACCAGAAGAAAATAATCTGATATTTTATACGATATAACATTCGTTTACATGAAATATATACAATAAGGTTATTACATTTCTTAATACTCATTATATTATATATGACATATGTTGACATGAAAGACATACAATGATATTACAGTTCTTAATACATGATTTTATATTTGTTTTTTGTTTCTTTGTTTCTATATGTCCTTAGTTTCTTGATTCGTATTGGATACAATAATATAACATTGGCTGGTATAAAATACATAACATACATTGGTTGATATACAATACAAGTACAAACACAAGCTAATGATAACCTTTTATAACAGGCTAGAAGATCCACATTATAGTAAACATATTGCAGGAATTAACTCTAAGTGGAGAACACGTGATGTTGCTTTTACTTACTCCATGATGTTGATCCTCTGAGATTGAAGGCGCTCATTTAGATAAGTCATTCTGTTGTTGATGTTTCGATATCGTTTCCCAAGTTGTCATATTACTTCTCCTGTATCGTGATGTATCCTGTTGATTTCGTTGGTGGCCTGAATCTCTTGAAACTGTCTGATGATGGTGTAGATGTTTGGGTGTAAATTACGTACCTTCTTCAGCTTCTCACACAATGCTTCCAAAACTTTAGTGGTGCGTGGTTCCTCTGTGAACCACACATCGTCTTCTCTCTTCAAGGGTAGCACGACAGCTAAGGTGAACAAGTCTCTCGATATCTTCGTTCTTTTCGTAAAGTTGTTGATGCCTAGTCTGCTGGGTTTTCCTCCAGATGCACTGAGTAAAGACTCCTGTGAACGCTTAATTATACAGCCTCATGGGTCTTGACAGGTAGTAGGGTATAGACAAGTCCGTACATCACTGCTAATTATTTAACGGAGGTATTTGTAGGAGGTAGATTGCTTGGGTAATTAAGCAATATACAATTAAAGGTATGAATCTGAACATTAACTGATGATGTAAATACTTAGAAAGTCATAGTTGGAGTCATTTGGGCATTTCAAATGAAAACCAATACAAATGAAGACTTTTTTCCATATAAAATATTGTATATCAGTCTATATTATTTCAGCATCGTTATTCAATCTTATTTTTTCAAATTTTGAAATTTGAATTACTTTCAGCATCAAATAAATTAAATATGAGAAATTATTTTTTAAAAAAACTTGTTTTATTTTGTCTTTATCTTCAGTGTTATATAAGTATTAAGTACGTAAAACCTTACTTATTTTTTCAACTCTACAAGAAATTCCAATCATCAAATATAATACCAGTTTCTAACCTAGATGGCACAGGTAACGAGAAGTAAAACACTTGTAAATTAATTTGAACTCGACTGTAATCCTTCTATCAATATTCCTTTGCCTGTGTTGTTTAAAAAGGGGGACACATATTGAAACTTACAGCATTTTGATTACGGTCGACACAAAATTTTATCAATCTCTAAAAAAATATTAGCCTCCAGTAAAGGCATGTACCGAGCGACCTGCCATTCGAACAAAAGCGGCAGAGATTGACTAAGAGTCAAAGAGAGATAACTCTCACTACAGCCGAATGAGCTGACGCAATATTATTGTATGTGTTGACATTATTTGTGTTAGCAATGTGCGGCTTGTAGGGGATTAACCCTATGTGTCAGCCACATAATGCAATCCCGTTTACCACTATGAGAAAGAACACGCGTGTACCGTATAAACTAACACGTGTACATATATTTGTTTGGTACGTAAAAGACCTGCCCCATTGTTTACTCATAGAAGGTGATAGGCGAACATTTCATCAGCTCAGTATAACTTGACCGATAAGTGATCCACCAAGATCACCCAAACAGAAAGTGACACGACACACATTTAGTATCCTCCCGAGAAAGTAACAATATAAATAACCCTAGTTTTCATACACAGAATCATATTCCTCTTCAATTACATGACAAGACATTAACTTTGCGAGCTGACCTGGTTTAACACTTACCATACACGAACTTACCTGGCAATCAACGAGAGAAACTCTGTAAACAACTACATATAATAAGGTAAAATGAATATTTGTTAATAGTTTTCGCATATTTGATCTCAGTAATACTTTGATAATATTGAAATATTTTATCTTATTGATGAGAACTGGCATTCTAGACACTATTAAAATATCACTAAATTACTACAGTATTAAGTACCAACATATCATTCTACATGTACAAAAATCACCTCAACAGCATCAGTTTAAAACAAGCCTAAAGAGAGGGTTTTGAATTATCGCCTAATTACTTTTGTAAGTCAAACAATGACTTTCATGTTAATATTCTAAAGAGGTGTTTTCATTATCTGCATTTAAAGAGGCTATATATGATAAAAATATGTATCGGTTAGAAATAAATATATCTTTTTGTTACGCGGTTATTTAAAAGAAAAAAAAATTCAAAGGTACTAGAGGCTAATATTTCCAATAGATTATGTCTAAACTGGTCTCATTTGTACAGGTATAATGATCCTGCGTAAAGATTACAACATTTACAATTCTGATTTAGCTATATAGATATTTCACTTGATCACTCTGCATAAGGATTACTAAATATTTGCTATATATCGGATTATGATTTTACCGAACAATGAATTATTATAGTCTGATTTTTATTTTAAAAATATCTTAAATTAGTAGTTGCTAGTAATAAGTAGTTTGTAATTAATAGCTAAAATATATGTTATCTTCATTTATTTAAATCTTTCCAGTACCTACAAAAATCAAGTGAGATGAAAAACGGATTTTCATGTATCGCCCTGGCGATGTTGTTAGCTGTGTCAGCAGCTGAATCAAATGGCGGGAGAATGGATGACGTGGGTACTGTGATTGGAATTGACCTGGGAACCACATACTCTTGGTATGCTTTCCAAATATACTTTCCTTGACAATGTTAACTGACTGTCTGGTATCATGCTCGATACTGTTATGTATACAAGGCCTTATCACACACGCAATATGCAATTTATACAGCATATATAAAACACTAACAATTGATAAGAATCTCTTTTACCGCAGTGATTCCTTTGTTGCGATTTTAGCACCAAGTAACCTATATTTTCATTTCAAATCCAGCTGTTTACGCCCTAGTTTTGCCATCTTTTGATTTTCCTGTCATACATGTTATCTACTTTACATTGATTTATATATTTTTGCTATGTTTTGCCCATGTTTATACTTAGGAAACACTGTTATTTAATCAGGAAATATCAGGAACAAGTTTAAAGTAAAATAGTCAAAGGCAGTCAAATATGATTGCGTGATTCACACATACAATAATGTATCTAAACTTGACACTCTAGTGTATATCAATCTTTTTGTAATGTCAGTTTGTTTTCTTTCGTGTAACTAAATTGATATTTCCCTATGTTCAGTGTTGGAGTGTTTAAGAACGGAGGAGTGGAAATCATTGCTAACGACCAGGGAAACCGTATCACACCCTCCTATGTAGCCTTCACAAGTGAAGGCGAGCGTCTTATTGGAGATGCTGCCAAGAATCAGCTGACCAGCAATCCTGAAAATACCATCTTTGATGTCAAGCGTATGATTGGTCGTACCTGGGATGACAAATCTGTGCAAAGCGACATAAAGTTATATCCATTTCATGTAAGTACCTTTTGTATCTTAATCTTTTCATTGTTCATTAAAAAAAATTAACAAAAATCATTTCAAAGGTCAAATGTGTCTTCACGATTACAAGTAACTTCAGATTATGATAAGAATGGGCGACCGTTTTCATGAATTACGTAAGAAAGCACAAACACTTCATTTTCCAGGTCTTAAATAAGGGTAACAAACCCCATTTCCAAACTTCCGTGGCTGATGTGGAAAAGACGTTTGCCCCAGAAGAAGTATCAGCAATGGTTTTGTCTAAAATGAAGGAGATAGCGGAGAGTTACCTTGGAGAGACTGTACACAACGCCGTGGTCACAGTGCCGGCCTATTTCAATGATGCTCAGAGACAAGCCACGAAGGACGCTGGTGTCATAGCAGGGCTCAATGTCATGAGGATCATCAACGAACCGTGAGTATATCGTGGAATCTACTCAATCAATTGAATAACTGGAGAAATCAGACGGAGGTATTTTACATAGGCAACGTTTTAGCCCCATTAGTTGATAATTAACTAGATAAACTGAAGAAAACATACAGTGACATCATTGAGCAATATTGTATTTCTGTATGTATTTGTGAGGTAAAATAACCAAAACCGTTATCTGATGTCTCATTAAAATGAGATGAGAGGTTTCCATTTTCAAACAATACAAATTTTTCAAAGAAGTGTTCCTACACGATAATTGCTTTTATTTTATAAATTGTATTCATATATTTAGAAAGAGCAAATTTCGTTATTGTTATCAAACCATACACAAAAAAAAATTAAATTGATACGAACTTGAATGACAATTTCAGAACTGCTGCAGCTATCGCCTACGGTCTGGATAAGCAGGACTCGGAGAAAAACATCTTGGTTTTCGACCTTGGAGGTGGCACGTTTGATGTATCTGTCCTGACCATAGACCAAGGTGTGTTCGAGGTCTTGTCTACGAATGGCGACACTCACCTGGGCGGAGAGGACTTTGATCTCCGCGTGATGGAACATTTCTTCAAGGTAATCAAGAAGAAGACAGGTAAAGACATTAGGAAGGACCCAAGAGCCGTGCAGAAACTACGTCGTGAAGTGGAGAAGGCCAAGCGAGTTTTGTCTTCCCAACATCAGACTAGAATTGAGATCGAATCACTTTTTGATGGAGAAGACTTTTCCGAGACTCTCACCAGGGCCAAGTTTGAGGAACTGAACATGGTAGGTACACATGATTTGTTCTTAGAGCTTACAAAATGATATCTATATCATAACTGCTTAATTCAAAGAGTTGTTCACATGTTCCTTCATTAATCATTTAACACATAATTCCAAGGAAATTATTTTGTTAATGACGTTTTGTAGCTTGTTGATTATACAAGTTAAGAAACCACCGTACTTTCATAAAGATACTTAGAATCAAACAACAATTATTTGTTTGAATAAAGATAATCTATGCTGAATTCTAGATCGATCAATTCGATATTTTCAATTTGTACCTTCTATTGCAGGATTTGTTTCGAAACACGCTAAAGCCAGTAAAAATGGCTCTAAAGGACGCTAATTTGGAAAAGAACGAAATTGACGAGATCGTACTCGTGGGTGGATCTACCCGGATTCCAAAAGTCCAGCAACTGATCAAAGACTTCTTCGACGGAAAGGTAAGAACATCTAAACTTGTCTTGGTGATCATGTCAATTAGTCAAGTAGAAGGGCTGAAAATGTACCACATTTTAAAATATCATTTTCCATTATCATACAATTGCAATGTAGATGAAAGCAGCATCAAATCAAATCATCCAAATTCTTTGTTTTATTAGGAGCCGAGTCGTGGCGTGAATCCTGATGAGGCAGTGGCAAACGGGGCGGCCATCCAGGGCTGTATTCTAAGCGGAGATGGTTGCGGCAACGACTTGGTAGTACTAGATGTCAACCCACTTACTCTGGGTATTGAGACAGTCGGCGATGTGATGACCCCACTCATACCACGAAACAAACCAGTCCCTAGTAAGAAATCACAGATATTTTCTACCGCTACTGATAATCAGCCAGCTGTAACAATTTCAATATTTGAAGGTGAGCGACCCATGACGAAAGACAATCATTTATTGGGAAAGTTTGATCTCACTGGAATTCCACCAGCCCCGAGAGGCGTACCCCAAATAGAGGTCACGTTTGAAATAGACGTTAACGGAATATTGAAGGTCACGGCAGAGGATAAGGGAACTGGAACCAAGAACGAAATTGTTATTCAGAATAACAATGATAGACTTTCCCCAGAGGACATAGAACGAATGGTAACAGAGGCAGAGAGGTTTTCTGAAGAGGACAAAAAAGTGAAGGAGAGAGTAGAAGCCAAGCATGAACTTGAAAGCTACGCTTATTCTTTAAAAAATCAAATTAGTGATGGTGATAAGCTCGGTGGTAAACTTAGTGATGAAGACAAGTCAAAACTTGGAGAAGCCATAGAGGAATCAATTAGATGGCTCGAAAGTAATTCTGATGCTGACACCGAGGAATTTAAATCACAGAAAAAGGATCTTGAGAATATAGTTCATCCGGTAATGAGTAAACTTTATCAAAGTGAAGGAACCCCACCTTCACAGGAAGAAGACACGGAGCGCGGAGAGCTCTAGGCGCGCTTATATAGATATACATTTATTTATAAAAATCCTGCAGAAAATACCGATCTCATAAGTAAATTAGTAAATTATATATGAACTTTATATAAATATATATATGTGTGTGTGTGTGTGTGTGTGTGTGTGTGTGTGTGTGTGTGTGTGTGTGTGTGTGTGTGTGTGTGTGTGTGTGTGTGTGTGTGTGTGAGGGGGGGATGTTGAATATTTGTGTACTTGGAATTATTATACATTAACGTGCATCCTGTGATATTCATCGTTGTATATGAACAGTAATTATTTTAATGAATCAATTACTCAAAATAATGAATTTTATCAATTATTTCAGTTGTCTATAAAATATATACACGTGCAAATGACTTATACCATATCATCATATGTGTTTGTATGTCTTTATTTGAATCTTTTATATGAAATTAAAACAAAGTTTTGTATGTCTAGTGCTCTCTTCTTAATTAACCATTACCTTGCATACCTAATTGATGACCAGGATTTAGAAACTACTAAATCAGCGATATATCTGTACATTATATCAAAGGTCCAGGAAAAGGAAAGATGCTACCTAGAAGAGGAAAAGACACAATAATTTATATTAATCACATTTATCACACAGCCTAATGAAAAACTTTCCCTGTCGGTGGCATTTTAAGTTAAGGTCGAGATTATCATTGTTCTACCGATTTCGAGAAAAGTGATAGTTTTGTCTGAACCTCGAGATTGTCTTGTTGTTCTGGCTTACATACTTTCTTTGTCCCAATGGTATTTATATGTTACCATATAACCTTATAATGAAGATACTTCTTCACGATGGTACAAACAATACACGGGTGAATATCACTTTTCAATACAAATTTAAAAGGATTAACCAAACTGCATCATACAACTACCTTTTCCGTCATGACTCGTCATTGATGCTAAGGGCCTAAATTTTGAAACCTAGGAAGCGGCCGAGGAAAGTCAAAACTGAACGAAAGAAGGAAAACAATAGATGGAGAGGTGCACTAGCCCCGTATTTCAATGAAAACCTTTACTTTTCACATATCTGATAATTAAAAAAACGTGTATATTCTGATTCGTGTCACTATTCGAATGAATTAAAACGTAATAGGTATGTTACAATGTAAATATGTATCTAGTGTAGCGATGTATCTGTATGAACAAAGTCATCTTTGATAAATACAAAAAAAAATCCCTAACATGTTCAAAAACGCAAACTGAAGACTTTTTCATGACTTTATTTTGGGTAACTGCCCTAATACATCTTTTTCGATGCATCATCATTAACAGCGGTATGAACATATTATTGTCCTAGTTGGTGATTTCAAATAATTACAACCTCTTATCAAGTTACGTATAATAAGAAAAAAGCAATAAAAAAAGGTAAAACAAAAATGCGAAAGAAACAAAAACAAAATCGTAAACCGAAACCAGTTTTTCCTTTCTGACAGAGTCAAATTTATTCATGTTAACAACATTTTTAAAGCTTTAAGTTTAATGCTCTTAGAGCATCGTTAATTATATGACCGTTAAGACGGCCTTTATCCAATCAAAACACAATACATATACCAGTATGGGACGTTAATCAGGCAAATTTATTCATGTTAACAACATTTTTAAAGCTTTAAGTTTAATGCTCTTAGAGCATCGTTAATTATATGACCGTTAAGACGGCCTTTATCCAATCAAAACACAATACATATACCAGTATGGGACGTTAATCAGGCAATGCAAGGAATAAGTTAACCGCATTGTCATTTAAGATAACTAGGAGACAACAAGCAATGCTACCTGATCAAAAATCAGCTGTAAACTGTTCATTTAACCCGTTGTCTTCATTCAAAAGTACACATCAATGAGGTATCCATGCATTTTTCAAAAACAGTATAAAGTTCACAGTTATGAAAACTTGCCCCATACAAAAAAAGAAAAGACAAAGACTCGGGTATGCTTTTATCCGGTTCTCCATAACTGAGATGCTTGAATATTGTATCGCTGTAGCCAAATATGAGAAATTGCTGTTATTAGTATTGAAAACTGAGATATAAGCTGGTGCCAAGCGTTCGGTTTTTACCTCTTTAAACATAGTGCAAATATTTTATCTTTAGATATAATAATAGCTCGTACAGCGTTAATATTTATAAACACATGTTATAAGTAAAGTAGACTATCAGCTTGAACATGTTTTCGCCGCCCTCTATGTCTGCCATTTTCTGGCACTATTACACGACATGGATTATAAGACAAATTTGCTTGTTTAACAAACAGACTTTCCTCATTCTTATACTTTATTTAAACAAACTACTAATTGTCATCAAGGAGGACGTGTTACAGTGTACAGATACTACATTTCATACAGTAACAGTAAGAACTATGATGGCATACTGTAAATGTTGTTATTTTCGGGGGTTTGAAATTTTAGCTTATTCCGAGGATAACATAAAATCTTTCATACAGAATTTATTGTACATTGCAAGACATCCCTTAAAAGTACATCGTTTTGGTTTCAAGGTTTTAGTAATTTCAAACATCGGCAGTTTTAACAGTGGTTATCATATAGGCATGGCTGTAATAAAATGGACATTTTGAATTGATACTGATGTTGAAAATTTCTCGTGTTCTCCAGAAACCAACAGCGTTAATAATTTTGACACACTAATCTTTTAAAATATCACATTTGATTTCTTGCAGAATTAAGATTTTCAGTTAAATATGTTCTTGTTTATCTTCATAATAACTACCTTGTAAAAAATATTTATTGATATTTTGTTATAGATTATCTATATAAGTTTTACTGAGATCATAGTGAGGTTTGTAAGGGACATTATATGCATTTGTTACTATATCAAAACCCTCTGTAATATCCAAAATCATGTTTACAAAGCAAAGCCATATTGTAAGTAAACTACTGTGCATGTTAAATTTCCGCGATGGGTCTTATTTTTACGGTTTGACGAAAGCTAGCAGCAATACGGATGTACTAAACGAATTATAGTTCTATATTCAAAATATTTTATTTTCAAATATGTTTATAGAGCCCAGTGGAAATAACACGTTTTATTGTATAGGTAATAGTACATTTTGATGACAATGCTTAATAATACACGCGAACTCGGGAACATATCACAGAGATAATTAACGAGATATTGGATCATCAAATTGAATACAGGTTTATATATGACAATATATAGGTATAAAAAATACATACAGATTGAAATGTTTTGTTTCAATAAAATTATACGATCAAGAAAAGTCTGAAGTCATTTAAGTAGGTATGTGGTATCAATATGATATTTATGACATCAACCGGGAAGAATGTGAATGAACAATTAAATGCTATCCCACTATGAGGTAAACATATATTACTATATAAACATATCGTTATAAAGGTAAAGATACCTGTTTATTAACATAGAAATATTACATCAATTATTTGTTAAATATCAGTAAACGAATCTTTGGTACGATGCTATGAATGTACATATGTGTGTGTATTTTACTTACAAAGAATACAACTGAACACAAATCAAAGCGACGATATTATTTAATCATGGTGGAAATGTTTCAACCAATTTCAGCCATATTGTTTTGACTGGATGACATTTTTTTTCTGATTTCGTTTTATACTATTTATAATCTATGATAAAATACAGCAATGTTAAAATACCTTTTTTGTTTTTAATTTTTATTCGGTGATCTTACTTTGATACAAACCATTAAATGATTCTATATAAATCAATTACCCGAGAACATTGTATGGTACCGTTGGTTGTGTCATCAAACACACCTTAAAGCATGGAATGTCACGACACATGATGTCTTGTCTATTAAAAACTTGTTAAGTCATGTTTAATATTTCTTTTTTTGTTTCATTTCTAGTATGATTAGTACTTGTTACAAGAGCGTTTTTCGGTCTAAAAAAGACAAGTTCCATATTAATTTGTCTTTGCCTATGTTGCATTTCAGGTAATACCATAAATTATAAGTTTTTTAACAAACTGGTGACATAGATGGACCAATCAAATATCAAGAGCAAATGAAGCAAAGAGATAAAAAAAATATGTTCTCAAGAGAAGTCGTCCAATCCCCAATTCCTCTGTATAATGATTTACAAACTTCAGTTTAAGGTTATAACATACCAAGGATAGTCATATCAATCAAAAGCGAAATGTACCCGCTTGCTAGATTTTAGGAAATTCGGAGACCTTGAAGATCTTTGTGACCTCATTGACCTTTCAGACCTTCGCGATTTGAATGACCACTGACCCTTTCGTATAAGTATGCACATACGCTTGAGTTCATATCGGAATCTTTTATCAGAAAATCCATAGATAACCGGGTCGGCAGCCGTGTTAAAGAAAACCATCCATACAAATGTGTAGTATGCTGCTCCACCAGAAAAACCAAGAGAACACTCAAATGTCTTGTTCATGAAAAACGCTATGGCAAGAACGTGGTGTGGAAGGAAGCTGAGGATAAAACTTAGCGTCACAGCTAAAAGTGTCATGGTGGATTTCCTTGTAGAACGATCCAACATTTCCGCAGGAATCGGACAAGCTTTCCTAGATTTTACTGATCCTTGAGCACCTATGAAATATTTCTTGTGGCTGTACAATCCTTTAACAATTAAACTGTACATCAGCGTTAGTGTAATTGTGACAGTTAGGGCGATAGTTGACATAATCACCTGAAACACCTTCATATACATAGAATCGGCGTATTCATCTTCAACCAAACACCTGTAGCCTCGAAGGTCGTTCAGACCAATCTCAACGGCGTTCTTACCAAACATCACAAATGTCGGCCATGATAAGAATATAGACACTATCAACCCAACGAAACAGCACACCTTGGCTTGCTTACCAGAAAGTTGACGTTTGTTAGGAGAGCAAATTTTGCGGTATCTGTCCCCAGCAATCACCATGAGCAACAACGCAGACGATAGATTGATGACATAACTTCCGGCTCGTCCGGTCTTGCAAATGTACTTAGATCCCAATATCAAAGGGAAACACAGATATGTAAAATAAAAAGGCATTACTCCTAAACAATTGACCATATCTAGTGATGATAACCAGATTACATATGTCCTGTAATTGGACTGTCGGAATCGCATCAGATAGATCCACAAAACAAGGAAATTCCCTATTACTCCAAATATGGTCAAAATGCCAATTAGTATAATACCACCGATATTCCTTAACATAAAGGCGTTGTTGACATCTTTGAGATCAGTGTTATTGTCGAAGTTGAATTCGTGTAGCCATTTATGACAGGCTATCACCGTTACTTTTGTCACGTTAGATTCCATTATACAGTACCACCAAACGAAATATCGTGAATGGTAAATTCAACACAATATATGGTTATGTTTGAGATGGTAGCGGCTCTGTTGCGTTACAAAAGAAAATGGGTATACACTTCCTTGTCTTAGTTATAAAGCTGGTATTTTTTTCATTTACAACCAAAATGTAAATCTATAAAATATCCAAGTGGAAATAATATGTCCCTTTACTCACGTCCGAGAAATTTCACAACAAATTAGAAACAATCCAGTTTATTAGGCCTTAGAACTGCAAAAGTATCAGTGTCCTTGAATCTTCGTAAGGCACGCCGTTAAATCACCATCAGTTGTTCCCGTATGGTAGTAATCACACAACAACCCATGTTTTGATCCGTGTGCTGTAGATATTGAAATTCATAGACCGAACAATCATACATATGGAATATTGTATTAAATCATTTAGTGAGAAAAAAGTGGGGTTTCCAACATATATTGTATATACGTATATTACAAAATGTTTCGGTCACCTCACTTGTCGATCTCTTGATGTGTGTAGAACACGAGGCACAATCTTAGAACAACCAATCGGAAACAGTTTTAGTTCATTTTAAAAGTCACTGCTGACATCGGATAAAGGAAATTTCCAGGTTAATGACTGATTAACATCCGTCCCTATGGTGTAATGCAGAATTCCGACTGGAGCTTGTATACGCCCTTTGTATATAAATCAGCGTAACACAGCCAAAGTTGATTCACACTTTATGATAGCATTCCAAAAGCACAGCTGCTTCATTTCAGAAACACACTTCCATATTGATTTCATAAACGATATTTTACTCGTACCTCTCATGCAGTTTTCAAAGCAACATCGTTGCTTTCTTCATGAAACCGAGGAAAGATTTCAAAAGTTAATTTTAATTTCATGAGAGGTTTTCGCGGATCACCATGAAAACGTGTATATTACCTCTGTAGTGATCGTTACACTTTGTCGTCGAACGTAAGAACACAAGTATGCGGTTTACACATTATATCGTCAACTCAGGAAACTGGATATCGTGACGGGAAGTGGACAAGGGGCCAGCAGCTCAACCTACATTTTATATCTCGGGCCAGTATTGTCTAATCCTGTACGTACATGTTTTGTATATACTGGTAACATATATTTTCAAATAGTTTCCTTTGTACGTAATTGTTACACTGCTACGATAAGTCATTTACAAGTACTCAGTATTATAGAAATTACACAATAAACAAAGCACTGTATGAAAACGTGATAGCTTTAACTATTGACGACATCCGCTATCATCAGTTTCCACTCTGGAAAACAGATAATTTTCTTCAAAACACACATTGTGTATACAGACAAATATGACATTGCAAAAATACTCGAACATAAACAATAAACATCACTATCGAAGGGGATGGAATTATTTCATTTCTATAGATTTCGATATCTCAAAATGCTGATGAAAAGAATATATGAAACTGTTTTCAATAAATATTTTATCATCAATTAGAAAACACACCCCTTCTCAGTACATATTGCACTTTAACTTTATAACCGATTACGTAATGTAAGCAATGAACCATAGTATACTCTGTATATACTTTATCTAAGGTTCATCAGTAGTGCTCAGTCTTCTCTTTGTATCTTGGCGTCAATTCCTAATGCCGTGGTGATATTGTACCATGTCCCTCTGCACCAACATACATCCTTTAATCCCTTCTTTCAGCGTATGTATACATTTCAATAACCATGTATCTGGAGGCTGTGATAGGATCGTTAATTTATATACATATATAACACTTACATTTACATTCTTTAATAAAAATAATCTATACATCTTTGTTATACAAACGAACCAAATGAATGTGTTAATAAGCGGCATAAATATTACATTCCGCCATGGGTTCAATCAGTTCGTGACGTCAACAGCAGACTCTGACGATTGGTTTGACGCCTATCGCCTGTCGAGAATGGCCAACTTCTCGCCAAATATGTTGTTTTCCCTGTTTGGTAAAGAGTTTGCATCTAGGATATTCTTCAGTTAGATTGTTTATTAAGCATTGACATATCTGAGTAATCTTCACTTGCGGTCGGGTCAAAGTTTTACATTAGAACAAGCTAGATGGTAGTCACTTCTACCAAATCATGGCTGATTAAAGTACATTGTAGATAAAGATATTTACACTTTTCACCTCCTTGTTATCCTGATGGTGATATAATGTTATTCCTTTCATCATGCAACCGACCACAAAAATTGTAAGTGTCCTGATCCCGAACGTGTTGGTTATTCAGAAATTCCCACAAATCTAACGTATTTTTCTTTTTATCTTTGAAATGAGTATCTAAACCTAGAAATGTTTTTCGTTTGAACAAACTATATAACTGTTTGGTATTGCCCGATTGATCGAGATTATCGAGAAGTCAAATCAAATGATTCAGTTCAGAAGTACAGTCGAACTTCATTATCTCGAAGTCGGGATCGTGGAGGGAAACTTCGAGTTATCCGATTATTCGATGAAAGTAACATCGAATGTTTAGTGTAAAGTTTGGTTGGGATCGACGAAATACTTAAAATTATACAGGGTCCTCGAGTTATAAGAGCTCGAGATAACGAGGTTTTACTGTATTGTTTTATGCCGGTACATGACAAAGCCGGCAAGACCCTATTAGCTCTCATGGCTACTAAAACAGACACATTAAAGATACAATTACATAACAAATAAAATTTGTGAGCAATACTGAAATATTGGCGACTTAAACAAAGGAAGCTTGAGAACAGGAAACTGGGAATATAGACCCGTACTTGCTGTTATTAGTGTATTACGTTGTGTAAGTGTAGTTGTTCTCAAGTGACTTGGTTGGGCACTCCAAATTTGAGATACTTCTGACCCAAAGGAGTGTTTGCCATACGTTGTGGTCCTAACTTGTGGTAGTTATATTGTGTTTTGATATCTGAATGTATATGATTATTATGTGATGTCTAAATCAACATGAAGGGATGTTGGTAATTAGTGGTGATGTTGAATCCTTCAGTCGCTAGAATAAGGGTAATGGTAATTTTGAACTTGCTGTTAAATTTTCATGTGTTTTCGTGTTCGTCACTGATAACATAAGTAATTTCATAATTGAGAAATAAATGAATGAATGAATGAACAGATAAATAAGCGGCTTGCTGTCTGTACTGAGGTTTTGACTTTGTCTAGAGACGTGTGTTCTTTAACTGATTGTGTTTACATAGGCGTAGATGTATAAGTTGAAGTGTAACATGACGTATGCAAACATGATCCTTGAGAGACTGCTATTTAAAATACCTAAGTACCTGCACAATTATCTAATTCAAGACTTTGTTTTCTGTTTTCTGAAGCCGGGGTCCGTAACTTCAAACTTTTAGAAAAGTTTGTAAGTTAGACAGTGAAAGACCTTTGAGACAGATATCCATTAGTAAACAATATACATACTTATTCTGGACCAATCCTGAATATCTCGATGCCTGGCACCTTTACCGAGCTAAGTAGGAAAAGTATGGATTTCGCAAAGACCTTTTGGAAAGTCTGAGTATATTTCCAAGTCTGTGGTTTCATTTGTCCAGTGCGCTGTTCTTTTTTTGGATTAGTGTGACGCTTTGCCTTGAAACAATGATGTAATGAAATAGATTTACAAGTGTAGTGACTGGTTTGGAGAGGCTGGGTTGTGCATTTTGTTGTATGGTCTGTATTATTGCCTTTAGGCGAGTGTGTACAACACCGTCACTCTAACGAAAATCTTATTTTAGAAAGTCAGTTACTCCAGTTTGTTCGTTTGATATTTTTTCCTGTTCTGTCTAAAAATAATGTCTACTCGATATTGATAGACTTGCAGTCGTCTAAAGTACAAATCAATGGACGAGAGATCGACACCTCGCTTAGATACATGGTAACATTTTCTGTGCAAGTCCAGTTATACAGGAAGTTATGATATGTGATCATACCTAAAACATTGTATCAATCTATATCTAGTATACATCCTAGTGCGTGACGGATATGAAATAACGTAAACACTGACGCTTGGAGCGATTAAGGTCAGGCACCATCTGTATCGTTTACCGTGTAGTTTTTTTTCTATCCAGACCCATTGTAAATTGAATCGAGGGATATTGGCGCCCAATATTGAATTATCTGTATCAGTTCTATGCAATACTGACCTTTTCTCTTCTCTCCTCCCCGACCCTCCCCCCCCATTTTTTTAGTATTCATTTGATAACAAGGGATTCCTATATATGAAAGATTAGAAACATTTTACAAGAACACGATGGTTTCCAGTAAGCCAATTTCTGACACAAAACCGTATGAGCACAATATGGGATCTTACACATTAAGTTTGAGAAATAGCCCTCCAGTTTTTTTTCAAGAAACAGCGATAACAATCTTCAAATGTCAAAATTCAAGATGGCCGTTTGTCGGTCATTTTGTTTCAATGACTAATCTCAAAATTACATGGGCACAAGCAGAGACCCATGGGAACATACACATGAAGTTTAAGAAATATCCCTTGCGTACTTTTCAAGAGATAAAAATTATTGTTTGCAGAAGAATGACGGGCTAAACAAGCCACCATCTGGTGCAAAAAATATCTTCAGGAAGACGTTAATCAGCGGTTATGACAGTTCAGAAAAAGAATACTGTAAACATTAGTGCTTTTTGCGGTAAAATGTTATTGCACTAAATGCAGTTCGATATGCGTGAATTTATCACTGTACTAATGTGCTATAAAGTGACAAGGTGCTAAAATGATTGTGTCAAAATAATGGCTTGTCTAGGATAGTCCTGTATTACTTGTGTAGTAGATTATACATTTTGTAAAATAATAGCGTATTTGCTGATGTTTCCAACATTGGTAAATAATTAACCGATGAGCAGGCTAATTATTCAGCGATTTAATGATGTATATATTGTAGATATACGACTTGTCGAATATATTTAAGTTAGCCAGTGGAAATATGAAGAGGGTGACATTTGTAGTAAGAAATCATTTTATATAACGTTTAAAACCTCCACTTATAGTTGTCAGATCATGTTGTCTTTCATGACCGTTAATGACAACAGCAGTGTACTATAGATACAACAATTATAATCGGTCAATAATATATACATGCCGTTATGAGTTTCGTATTATAAAATACAAATAGAGCCAGCAAATTTATTCCTGGTGGCATTTGAAAAATAGCATGGAGATCTAGTTTTTGACGGTAATGCACAAATTGTACTTAGCAAGCCGGTTCAGCATTCATGGAATTTGGCAGTTAAGCCAAGATACCACCATAAATGCCCCTGTCATTTCTTCCCGAACTTTAAGTCAATGTCACATAAGATTTTCAATTACAAGCAAATACGACAGCAGCTGAAATTACATGATCTAAGAACAACTCCTTCAGTGTGTTCTTGTCTGTCAGTCCATATTATTGTGGCCCAGTTTGACATGGTTTTCATGAAGGATTTAAAATATCAACAAAGTCCGACTATTTACTGGATTCAATGCAAAATTGATACCATGGAAAACTATTAATCTGAAAGCTTAAAACCTTAATAAATGATATGTTTGAGTTATAATGACTGAAGCAATACACCGACAGACAAGTAATTGAGGTCATTTAAAGAATTTCAATTATCTCCCCTGTTTAATTTCTTGTGTATATATAGTGAAATTTTAGTAACCTCTATTTACTATCACTTCATTCAGACTTAGTTTAATGTAATCATCTTGAGCAATTCATGTTAAACCAGGCTTAAATTGAAAACAAACGAAGTATAAAGTCAGATTTGGGATATGAAATTTTTATTTAATAAAATTTTATGAAAGACACCTTAAAAGAGAATACAGAAGAAATACTACTAAACACGAGGTAATAATTTGTAAGTTACTTGCTATAAGGCAATCTAGATTAGGTAAATTAAATTACAAGTACAGGGCACTATGCTGTAAACAAATTAAACATATAAAATTAACAAACATTGTAAGTAAGTTAGTATGTTTCCTTAACAACATTACAATATATACACACATTTGCTAGAACTCAAAGAACAATTTGGAGTATTTTCTCAACAGTTCCTCGGTTAATATTGTAGAAACAGAAATGTGCCAGTTATCCAAAGTCATTATGCCTCTTGCTGTGCCTAAATACTAACAGTTATTACATACAATGTTCACAAGCAGTTTACTGACATACACGACAAATTCATAAGGTATGTGTGTGCAAATTATGGTGTAATTGATGTGACCCCTGCTATCTTCAATTTTGTCAATGAATGTGATTAGTTTGAGATAATTCAAAGTGTTTCAAAATGAAATTTATCTATTTCATTTACGTAACTGTGAACTGATCATAATGTAAGCGTAAATTCAGTAACATTATCACAAAAGCTTGAAATTAATAATACATGTAGAATATTTTTATATGTATTGTTGAAAACAATTAAAAAACATTAAAAAAAGGTCATCATCCATCACTTATAAATGAAATTAACTGCACAAAATATGTCTGCAAACCATATCAAACACAATTATATCACAGAAAAGTAAATAATAAGGAAACAAAATGACTGCTCAGTCACTACAATAACCTTTTCTGTACTCCAAAGATTTTACATGCTTACCTTCATAATATACCAGGTAAGTTTACTGACATTACACTGAATATATGGGCAGATCAAACATCTTTGTACATGTACCTTAAAAATATGACAAAGAAGTTGCTTAATTCTGAGTGAAAATGTTTGTCCTGTGTTGCTTGTTAACATATTTTCATTAATGCAAATAAATTGTAACACACAATATTCAATCTGACTGAAATAAACGATTACAATAAAACAAAACTATTCTAATGAACCTCCATGTATAAATTTGACTTGAATTATATATATGTATATAAGAAATCTCTAACATAGATTTCATTACACGTATTAATATATCTTTTTATAGATATAGACAAGGCAACAATAGCTAGAATACTTACCAAGTAATTCATCTTGAAGTCAATACTTAGTAAAAGATTACCCATTATACAGAAAATCTGTATCTTTCATTCTTGATATTTGTCTGCATATCAATCTGATCTTGTTAGCAGATACCTTTTCCAAATTGGTAATTATCTTTAAGTTCACTGTTTTAAAATTCACACAGATGATCTAATTGGAAAACTATGTTTTATAAAGCCAGAGATAGTGTAATCTGACAGTCATATGTTTTATAAAACATAGGGTAGTGTATTCTGACAGCAACTTTGCTGTTATTTTATATGCTTGTGACCAGATATTGCTGGTGATTGTTTATAGGAGCAGAGTTAGGTCCACAGCGATTTGCAGGGTCAGGTCCAAAGGCCCCTTGGGCACCGTTTACTCTTGATGGATCTGTCCCTTGTCGATTTGAAGGGTTTGGGCCATGCACCAATGTATATTCCGAACTATTGAAAAACAAAAATAAATCATGATTATGGAATTAAAATGTAGAATATGAAATTTCTGTCAAGAGCTTATTGAGCTTTATACTATTTTTTTATTAAACAAAACCACAAAATATGGTGGATTAACATGTAACCTCATACAAGAGGTGATGTTTGTGAATATGTGTAATCTATTGCAACAATCAGATAAGAAATGCAGCCTGTACGGTAGTGAAGTTGTTTATCTATTTATAGTAATGGTGACCTAGTTTTTGACTGCAGAATGTTGAAAAGTCAACTAGTGCAAGAATGATGCTTGGTAACAAGAGTGTAATTTATTTTAATCATTTTAACAGAAATACAGCCTGTGAAGCTGCAATGTTGCTTTTCTCCTTATAGTAACAGGAACTAATTTTTGACTACAGAAAGTTGAAATGCAAACTCATACAAAAGGTGGATGTGGAGTATTTTAACAATCTGATAAAAAATGCACCCTATAGGGCAGTGACAGCATTTGGGACAGATCCCTCTATATCATTGACAACTTTTGTTGAGAGGGTAAAATTAATGCAAATATTTAACCTTTTTAAGTCATTTCTAAAACTCTCATTAGCATTGAAAACCAAACCTGCTTATATATTGAACTAATATAAACACCTATTCCTTCAAATGTACTATTGCATTTTTGCTGGTAAAGAGAATGTGTGCACTCAATCAAATCCTGTAGAAAATTCTTTTGTTTTCTTAAAAGTTATTACATAAAAATCAATGAGCCAGAAATATGAGCTGACCATAAGTGTATGTCTTGTTCTCAGGTTTTATGTAGTGTTGTATACTTACAGAAGAAGAGACTTGTCAGGACCCATCCTCAGGTCTGGGTTTGGACCAAGTGTCTGCGTCCTGTACTCAGAGTTAGTCCTGGGCTGGTGGGTGACAACCTGGTGCCTGGGCTGTGTTTGTCTACCAAATAAAATCCATATTTTAATGGTAAACAGTACAACATTAACTGTGTTCTGTCTTTAGTTATGTTTTAAAAATAACAGATATTACATACCAAGAAATCCACATGACTGCAGACATATTACATGTTTAGAGAAAATGTATGAATTTTCTACAGCACAAGACAGAATTAGAACTACATGTATAAATAGGCATATATAATCAGATATGGCTGTAATCCATACTAATAAGGAGATGTTCACAGAGGTCATGTTACGCTGTCCTATCAGAGTAAACTTAACAGGATCATCAATATCATTTAAGCATGTTCCAAAATTTCATAGATTTGTAAGGTATTAAACATTTTAGTTAAATAGCTTTTTAACATACGGGCATGAAACAGGTATTGTTCTTGCTTTACCAAAGTTGAATTTCTAAACCATCTTTGTTTTGGATTGAATTGACGATGTTGTGCAAGTACACCTTGACAAGCGTGATTTCAGACTTTTTCCTGGTGTGGTGAACACAGCCTTACAAGACAACACTGAATTTTCTCATTTAGATGTTTCTGAATTTGAGAAATGGCAGAATTACAATGACAGAAATTCTGTAATGTGTAGTGTATACATCATAAAATTAATGAAGAAGATGCTTAACCTGCTGAAGCAAAACAGAAGGAAGAGAAATAGGGAAGCTACACAAATACTAAAAAACTGAAAAAATCATGCCACTTCACTAAAGATTCCATGACACAGCAATCCCCCCTGACAACAAATATTCCTAGACGGTATATATTTTCAGTTTCAAAATGTTTTCTTCGTGTGAAACAGTAAAAAATCAAACTAACTTGAGATAAAAGTTAGAGAAATGTCACTGCTTCTGTCTGCAGTATTGTTATTTGATAAATTTCTATGAATAGTAAGTGACTTTGACCTAGAACATTGAAACAAACACTGATCAAACATATTTTTTTGTTCTTAACTTTTTTATGTATCAGCTTCATCAAAATAATGATAACAATAAAAGCAATATATAAATGAAGGCAGTGGAGTGATAGCATTAACTAAAGATGGGTTGTGTCTGGACACTATATACCAACTCTCGCGATAAAATGGTAGTGACATGTAGAGTGATAGCATTAACTAAAGATGGGTTGTGTCTGGACACTATATACCAACTCTCGCGATAAAATGGTAGTGACATGTAGAGTGATAGCATTAACTAAAGATGGGTTGTGTCTGGACACTATATACCAACTCTCGCGATAAAATGGTAGTGACATGTAGAGTGATAGCATTAACTAAAGATGGGTTGTGTCTGGACACTATATACCAACTCTCGCGATAAAATGGTGGTGACATGTAGAGTGATAGCATTAACTAAAGATGGGTTGTGTCTGGACACTATATACCAACTCTCATGATAAAATGGTAGTGACATGTAGAGTGATAGCATTAACTAAAGATGGGTTGTGTCTGGACACTATATACCAACTCTCGCGATAAAATGGTGGTGACATGTAGAGTGATAGCATTAACTAAAGATGGGTTGTGTCTGGACACTATATACCAACTCTCGCGATAAAATGGTAGTGACATGTAGAGTGATAGCATTAACTAAAGATGGGTTGTGTCTGGACACTATATACCAACTCTCGCGATAAAATGGTGGTGACATGTAGAGTGATAGCATTAACTAAAGATGGGTTGTGTCTGGACACTATATACCAACTCTCATGATAAAATGGTGGTGACATGTAGAGTGATAGCATTAACTAAAGATGGACTGTCTGGACACTATATACCAACTCTCATGATAAAATGGTGGTGACATGTAGAGTGATAGCATTAACTAAAGATGGGTTGTGTCTGGACACTATATACCAACTCTCATGATAAAATGGTGGTGACATGTAGAGTGATAGCATTAACTAAAGATGGGTTGTGTCTGGACACTATATACCAACTCTCATGATAAAATGGTGGTGACATGTAGAGTGATAGCATTAACTAAAGATGGGTTGTGTCTGGACACTATATACCAACTCTCATGATAAAATGGTAGTGACATGTAGAGTGATAGCATTAACTAAAGATGGACTGTCTGGACACTATATACCAACTCTCGCGATAAAATGGTGGTGACATGTAGAGTGATAGCATTAACTAAAGATGGGTTGTGTCTGGACACTATATACCAACTCTCATGATAAAATGGTAGTGACATGTAGAGTGATAGCATTAACTAAAGATGGGTTGTGTCTGGACACTATATACCAACTCTCATGATAAAATGGTGGTGACATGTAGAGTGATAGCATTAACTAAAGATGGGTTGTGTCTGGACACTATATACCAACTCTCATGATAAAATGGTGGTGACATGTAGAGTGATAGCATTAACTAAAGATGGACTGTCTGGACACTATATACTAACTCTCATGATAAAATGGTGGTGACATGTAGAGTGATAGCATTAACTAAAGATGGACTGTCTGGACACTATATACTAACTCTCATGATAAAATGGTGGTGACATGTAGAGTGATAGCATTAACTAAAGATGGGTTGTGTCTGGACACTATATACCAACTCTCATGATAAAATGGTGGTGACATGTAGAGTGATAGCATTAACTAAAGATGGGTTGTGTCCGGACACTATATACCAACTCTCATGATAAAATGGTAGTGACATGTAGAGTGATAGCATTAACTAAAGATGGGTTGTGTCTGGACACTATATACCAACTCTCATGATAAAATGGTGGTGACATGTAGAGTGATAGCATTAACTAAAGATGGGTTGTGTCTGGACACTATATACCAACTCTCACGATAAAATGGTGGTGACATGTAGAGTGATAGCATTAACTAAAGATGGGTTGTGTCTGGACACTATATACCAACTCTCATGATAAAATGTAGTGACATGAAAATGCAACAGTACTGACCATTATGGTACATTTCACTGACATGCCACAATAAAATTATACAGACAATTATATCTAAACAATAGTAACTATTTGGTGAATACAACAAGGAAAAGGAGATTAAACAAGTGTACATGTGAAAGTTGTGCACCGACTTCAAAAACAAATGTGAAGCAAATACTGTTCCTATTAATAATATTAAGAACACAAATAATTTTGTTTATGCAGACATCATAGATCAAATTATCATTCACTGTTCCATTACAGAAATCTCTTGCCTTCTAATAAAATTAATTAGACCTTTCATATATTTTTCTGTCTCTTATAATATGGTGCCAAGGAAGGAAAAATTTTCAACTGCTTCTGTTGAGAACCATTTTACAAGTTCAAACTTCCAGATTCTTTTTTTTTCTCTACTAACCTGCATCTAATTTTAGAGATTAGAATGGTATCCAAGGTTGAATCAAGTTCATAAGTCAAAGAATCCATTGTCTAATTGTCAGTATATGGGGGAGTGTGAGCTATGAAACCTATCTTCTATAACAGAGCTATCCTTCTACCCAGTTTTCAAACATGCATTCAAAGCACTTTATCAAATAAGCCATTTCAGAATATAAACTCAGTCAATTATTTCATTGAACAATTATGAGGACATTAACAGAAAATAAAATTAAGGCACAAAAGCTGACGACAGAAAGCACATGCTTCTTGCCATTTCAACACAGCCCTGACCTTTGAGAATTAGCACTGGCTGTGTTCTGGCAGCAGACGGTCACTAGATTTGTGAGAATGCTGGCCCTCGTCAACAGCCTCTCACTCATTCTGAACAATGTGGCAGAGAAAATTTGTGAAACAGAAATTTATTTCAGGTAAGTTCCTGTTTTGTGCATTAAAAAAGTGTTCTTAATGCTTACAATAACATTTAGTGAAAGTGGCACGAGATTTTTACATTTGTTACAATGATATGACCTCAACTGTTATGAGACTAGCCAGATTCACTTCTAGGACAACACTGACAATAAGATATTGGAAAGATCTGGATTTGTTATTAAAAAAATCATTAGTATATGAAGTCTTTATCTACAATTTTTATTTTTTTTTTCTGCTTGAAAATGGCACTAAGACAGACTGACAGAAAAAGAATTGATTCTGACAAAATCAAAGGGGTTATATAATTAATGTGTATGTGGAGGCTGTGAAATGGAAATGGGGACAACAAAATGTTCCCTGTCACATGCCAGGTATACAAAACTGGTAAATTAGATTAATATAAATTCATTGTTAGACAAAAACCCATTTGTTAATGCCTTTGGTGAACAGAATGTAATGCAAAATCAAAAGGTTATATTAAATCAGAAAAAATTTTGCACTATTTTAAACGAATATTGCAAACAATAGAGATTGAATTTAAAGTCAACAGAGTTAATCAATCATACTCTAGAAGACTTGTTTGACTTCAGAAAATAAAACTGTGACCTAGATATACATGTATGTTGTAAATTGACAAAAGACAACAGAGATATAATTGATTGATGATCCTTCAATGTCACACTGGCCTGGAGGTGAAAATCTTCATTTTTCAGACATTACCAAATGAGTTACAAAGCTTAAAATTTGTTAGGAAATTTCTCATTTTTCTAGACGTTATGGTCGAGACACAAAAAGACTGATCATGATTGTTCCAAGTAACACTGATCTATCATGATCATTGCCTTTTTCTTTGGAGTACTGTAAAAACCTGCATAATGTGTGCACCTTCATAATGTGTGCATCTTCATAATGTGAGCGGGCCTTGGTACTTTTTGGGGCTAAAAATGGTAAAAAAATACTTCTACTTGCATAATGTGTGCACCCAAAATCAACAAGGTTTCATTACACATTTTGGTAAGATAATCCGACCAAGATTATTCTCTCTTTATTATTACACGATAGATATGCTTCTTAAGCATTAATAAGATCAATTTGAATAGATAATAAATCAAATCCATAGTCTGATGATCCATCATTACTCTGTATACTAATATGTCAATGCTACCTTCCGCTATTACACATTAAAATGGACATGTGCTCATAGCTTCCGCTTCGTTAAAATGAAGCCTGTCAATTTTCTGAGAGTTGAACATGTAAGTTTTTCAAAAGATAATCAAATTTTATTCAACATAGTTTTCAGGGTACCAAATGGGCCACTGTCTTTGCCAGTCATTAATTTTCTGTCTTGCTAGTTGCTATCACATTTTCCAACATTTTGTCCAGATTTTGCATGATATTGACTGACTTGGATAGTTTGCATTAATATGAACAGTAATTTATCTTATTTATTATTGTTATTTATAAATAAATCGTAAAATACTTTTTGTGTCAGTTTTGAGTGCCAGATAATTTTGATAATCAGTGATGGTGTCCTCACAGAATCTTCAATTTTACCATGAAAAAGAAAAAAATCCTACAGCTACGTAATGTGTGCAAACCACATTTTGGACATTTAACTAAAAAAAATTTACTTCAGAATGGAATGCGTGGAGACTTACTGGGTGACCTGTGTTGGTTTAGTCCTCTTCTGACCAGGATGAGATGTCGCGGCAGGTGTTGTCTTCTTTGGTACAACAGTTTTTGTCTTCTTCGGTACAACAGTTGTCTTCTTTGTTGTCTTCTTAGGCTGGCTTGACTTCTGAGCAGAGAATGGCCTTCTACAAGTAGACTCACATATGTATGGAGGTTCTTAAATGTTTCTCCAAAAACAAACTCAAAAATATGAAATCATTTTGCCAGAAATAATTGTATAATACATATGAATTAAGCACATAAATCCATTAAAAAAAAGAAATGTTAAGTTTTATGATCTTGTGTTTTTAATCATAAGTAACAATAAAGTTACAGTGTACATGTAGATTCTTGCATGATCTGAAGCCATTGATAAGTAGATTCTGAATGCGCATGGCAAAAACGGATAGAATGTATACTAACGAAGGGGAATTTTGTTCACTGTCATCAAAACCAACAGGTTCCAGAGACGTAGAAGCAGCAGGTTCTGTTGTGTTAGAATCAGACCTGAAGAAGAACAATACTGAATAATTTATCAATATAATGAATCATTTTAAAAAGATTTTGACTTATGTTTCATCAATTTGAATACATTTGTAATCTCAAACAGATAGATTTATTGGCTGAGATTAAGGTTAATCTGTCCTGATAAATTTCCTAGTGACATGTACACGCTTACTTTGGATATGCCTTGTTTGCTGCCATTTTAGTGTCGCCCCAGCCCTTCAGTACTGTCCTGGCCTGGGATTCCTTGTACTCACACACATCCAGTGCCATTGTTATTACCATATTGTCAAGAGAAGGGAACTCCGACTTCATTTTATTCAAAACTTTAAAAAATATACAAAAACATATGTTATAATAGACAAAACTTCTTATACAGCAGAATAACATTATTTTAATCCCAGACAGGAATTGAAAAGTAACAATATATGAAGGTAAATAAAACCAACATTTGTAGACTTTATATATTTACCTCAAAATACAAAAACAAAATCTACTGTAGCGAAGCTATCCATACCCATGAAAAGTATTGTTTTGTCATCCCTATGACGTATGTACTAAATGTACTTAATGTATCTATTTATATCCAGATTATTTAAGAAAAAATATCACAATTTCACCTGTTTATGGGGCTTTTGTAACATTGTAGAGGATATGAGTTTAACAAGGGTGGTTTGAAATATTTCTTTTTTATCATTTATTTAAATATTTGATTTAATCCAATTCAAACACTTTATAATTCTATCAAATGCACAAAATTGAAGGTTGAATTAATATTGTCTGGGCTTTTCTGTAAAATAAGGATATGTTCCCTTTAAAAAAGGATGTGGGGATTTTCAGTACAAAATGATGAGAGATTTCCTGTACAAAGGGATATAGCAATTTACTGTACAAAAAAAATTGAGATTTTAAGGTAGGACTAGCTAATATTTCACTTTTTTTCCACTACTGAAGTTTGTATAAGATGTAAATAAAACTTCCATACCTTTCTTTTTCTCTTCTTCAGACATTGGAGGTGATGGTGCTGGGGCTGGGGATGGTGACCTTGCTGGTGACCTTGGTGGTGACCTTGCTGGGGACCTTGCTGGGGATTTTGATGGTGACTTAGCCCTGGCCTTCCCTGACTTAGGTCGAGAATCACTGGTATTCAAGGTTGTGTGAGACGGTTCTTCACCTTTTTGGTAACCCATCCTTGTAAGTGTCACCCTTGATTCATTTTCATTGAAGTTACACCTGTCAAGGTAACATGATTTAGGCTTATATATGTGACAGTATATACTTATTCAATGTATACCATAATAGATGGTATCATCCTTAATTCTAAAGTTGGATTCTCAGAAGTATTAAAAAAAATTAAATCTATAGACAGGAAAGGGTAAACAGTCTGTCATGGTCTTAAGACCCATCAACATTGTTAATGTTTGATCAATATGTATACAAATATGTATAGTTAACACACAAACGACAATGGAAGATAATATGCCATTTGTGCATCTGTGTTGATATTAAAACAAAAGATCAAACAGTGTATACAAATACTTATATTAATCAAAAGGTTTAAAACATAATCTTTATATATGAATATTTTAATTAACCATGAAATTATCTTGCAAAACATGTTGTAGAGGTGATGTAAATCTTATATACAATGTTTAACAACAAATATAAACTATGTTATTAATCACGACAAACATCTGGAATATAGAAAACACCTAAACATAGAAAATATCAATGATGAAAAATCACTTCATTTTTTTTTGCCATTAAAAATTATATTAGTTAACACTAATGGACCCTAATCTAAATGGTTCATATACCTACGCGCTGACAATATCCTTGATCGTGTCCAGAGGAACTCGAGGATAATCCATGTGGATTCTGTTTACCATTGCATCATCCTGGAAAATAATTCATCGCCATCATAACACTAAGGAAAGTCTAAAGGTTAACAATATGTCATATATATGTATATCGTGGTAATTATAGTAAGGAAAGTAAATACATGTAACTGAACTAATAAACACAGTGAACTGACTTCCATTATGACTTTGTATTTACTGCTGTTTTAATCATGCCACTATGCCATTCGGCAGGTTTGACTATGCATGTATACATGTATATATGTATACACTCTATAACAAGTGAAAAAGCAAGCTAGACTGACATCTAATGCCTCTATGTTATATTTACTGCTATCATGTTACATGCTCATATAATAATATTACAACAAAGCTATAGAATGAGATGTGATGTCCCCATATAACAATTATACAATAAAGCTATAGAGTGAGATGTGATGTCCCATATAACAATTATACAACAAAGCTATAGGCTAGGCAATAAAGCTATAGTGTGATGTCCCATATAACAATATAACAATATACAACAAAGCTATAGATGCCCTCCATATAACAATTATACAACAAAGCTATAGACTGCTATAGACTGAGATGTGATGTCCCCCAATTATACAACATATAACAATTATACATATAACAATAAAGCTATAGGCTATAACAATTATACAACAAAGCTATAGACCGAGATGTGATGCCCCATATAACAATTATACAACAAAGCTATAGGCTGAGATGTGATGCCCCATATAACAATTATACAACAAAGCTATAAAATGAGACGTGATGTCCCATATAACAATTATACAACAAAGTATAGAATGAGATGTGATGCCCCATATAACAATTATACAACAAAGCTATAGAATGAGATGTGATGCCCCATATAACAATTATACAACAAAGCTATAGACTGAGATGTGATGCCCCATATAACAATTATACAACAAAGCTATAGACTGAGATGTGATGCCCCCCTCCCATATAACAATTATACAACAAAGCTATAGAATGAGATGTGATGCCCCATATAGTGATGATACAAAGCTATGGGATCCTCCCATGTTTTACTTACTACTACAAACGTTGGCTCAGGTGAGAGTCCTGGTATGAGTGGATTGTCATACATATTTTTTTTCGGAGGAAATGGTGGCTGAGCCACCACCTTCTGGTTGAAGCGAGGATCCTGCCATGTTGTCTTTTTTGTTGAATGGTCAATGAAGAAACTGGGGACAGTAATAATTTATGCTTTATGATAAATACATGAACTAGCAGCCAGTATCAAAACTTTTAGTAAGACACCTAACTTGTGATACATTATTTACAAATTGAAATATAATAACTTGATGTACTGAAGGTAAAATTTACGCTTGGATACACACCAATACTGGGTACATGTTGTGCATTTGATATACCAAATAGTTATAAATACAAAAGAGTTTGCCGGCATTAAATCTAAAATTAGATACTGCAGCACAAATATTGTACCATATTTCTCGGAGTTTTTGAGTAATTATATGCATGCATATGTTTACATGATGTTTTCTTGACATTTCTCAGGCTCAAGTCTATCGAATTTTTTTTGGTAAATGACCATAACGACATACATATCTAAGTAAAGTATCCAGCAGTCATTAGACTGTAAAGTGTATGGAATTCGCTTTTGCTACAGCGTGATGTTAAGTATTGCACAGTGTTTCTATAGTCATTGTACTCATAAATACAGTGTAAAAATATGTTTGAACATTGTTTATGTATTGTATATGTCACAGTACATACGTATAAATTTTATTTGTCTCTTAACCACAAATGTTTGTATGCCACGTACATATGGGTAGTGTTCCATGTCTATGTATATAGTGTTCTAAGTCAATAGCATGCCATGCGTTCTGTTTAATATAAACATGATGACACATGACTGTGGACTGACCATTCACTGGCCTAGAATGAAGACTGACAGTTCTTTATACATCGGAACACCTGAATACAAGTGTATGAAGGAACGGACTTGGGATTCTGGTGAGAGTAATTCTACTCTGGAAGTATATACTCTATAGGTTGTTATAGAATTACTAGTTTAGTCTGATAATAACATAACGTTTTTATTAAGGTAACATTATAAAATAAAAGTTTTTAAAGTGTTCTTTTAAAATGATCATTTTGCTTTTGTCAGTTCTATGTGATGTGTACTTTCATTTCCCTTTTATACTTGTTCTTTTAATGTTTTCATGAATAGTTTTATTTCACTGTATATCTAGACAACTTTAACCATTTGCTACATAAGTATGTATGTATATCAAACTTTCTCAACAGTGTTTTAATTTCAGATTTAATAACAACATGTTCATGCTATGCTAGCATTCATTCTTGAGAATTATTTCATCTTAAACTACTGATCTGTAATGCTTTGCTCTGTTATTTTTGCACCATTATCTGTCTATGATATTAAGTAATGCTTGCATGGCTATGTTGTTCCATTGTTTTGATATCTTTGTCATAAACTCTTCTGACCTTATGTTTTCCATTGTTTCCCATACATTCAACATAAAATAAAGTTTCTTGTGTCTTGTAATTAAGTTATTGCTTTTTTATTAAGAGACACTTCTCCTTTTACTTATAATGTCCACAGATGTGTGTCAGTTTGTAAGAAGTTTTCACACATATATACATTTGCATGTTTTGTTTGCAGGGTTTTCATCATACATAATTATAAGATGGACGGAGTAAATACTAAGTTACCCTATTCCCGTTTACTTACATGATGTACACAAAACTCTAAAATGTAACTCTTTGTTTAGCAGAAGGTCTACATGCAGTCATCCAGTCTAATTTAGTATTACATCAATATTTCATCAAGAAATAAGAAGTGACATTGTATTACATCCCTCTTTAGAATTCCATATGTCACGAGCAGAAATGAAAGATACGGTAGATACATGCGCGATATGTTGAAATACCTCCTAAGTATTCATCCAGATATTGGTAAATGTGAAGTTGTATTGGTAAATAACCTGTATGGTGAGAATCGTTACGGTGAATTAATGCACTGATATATTGATTAAACTAAAAACTATGATTGTTTTTATTATTCTGTAATAAATGAAAATATAACCCAATCGTGTTTTCCCTAAAGCCATTCTGTTATGTTTGTTTTGATGCTTAGCCTACATTTGTTTATTATGCCCTGCTGTCACTGGTTAAGAAACGCCAGAACTCGTATTAGGGCGAATTGACCAAGTTGTATTTCGAGCATGCATCCATGATAAAAAAAGTTTTGTTAGATACGTACTATGCCCGTTGATTGGCGTCCCAACGCCCCTCCCATCCCGGGGGTAAGGGCGGGATCCACTTGGTGGCATTTGGGTTGGCCATTTTGTCAGAAACTTTAAAGATCACACGTGCTTAAGTACATAACAATCCGACATACAGAAGGACAGATTACGACAACGACTGGGTTCATAGGGAATGGAGGCAAATGAAGTGCGTTCGTTTGCAACTGCGTACAGTAATAATTTATGTTAATCTTACGACAGACAATTTTTTTCTTCATTTTCGTATATTTGGTTTATTTTCACAAGAATTTTCTAAAAATTAAAATTCAATTTAAATTTCATCAGATCCAGGAAGATTTTGAGTTTAAAAAGGCATTTTAAAGTTGTATTCATGTGTCTATTTGATGTCAATGCATTGTTATAATGTAATGATAGGGTATGATTAGAGAAGGCTTATAAATGCAAGCTGTACCCAATCGTTTTAATTCAATGTTTGAAGAAAGACAGAAGAGTGGACGGAATTATATCCCACGACGTATAATTGACCGAAAAGAGCTTATTTTGTTTTGAGGTTTTATACACTTAACACACACACGCCCTCACACACACCTTACATGCACGAAGAAGAAATCATTTGAAACGAAAGTCAATTTCTTTTATAACTTTAAGATTTTACAAACAGGTTTCACGAAGGAAAGCAGATCACCTAAATTAAAAACAACAAAGCTGCAACACAAACAACCACTTCGGAATAAAAAAAAAACAAAAAATAAATAACAACCAAAAAACTGATGAAACCAGAGACGTTATATATGTCTCTGATGAAACCAACATTGTCCTTTTTATATAGATTAATTATAGGGGCAAAGTGAATGTTTCACTGACTACTAATTTCTGACATTCTTTTCACCGCAACATATCTTATATAAACAACCAGACCAAGGATCTTAATTTGATAGTTAAATCAAGCAGATCGCTTCCATTACTCACGTCTCGTGGTTTCAGAATGATCATCACATGTTTTGGACACCGTAGACCCTATACCAATCTTTGTATAAGTGCTAAAATGTTGCTCACCGGTCAACACTCAGGGTTGAATTAAGTTCAGACTATTTCATCTCCTTGGGCAACATGTATGTCAGACATTTTACTATGATAAATTCCACACAAAGGTATGAAGACGTGAAAAAGTATTTCACGGTCATTATATTTACATTGTTAAAGTATAGCGCCCATTAATATAAGAGTTTCTAATCTTTCATGATTGATTACATTCTAAGAAAAAAAAAAAAAAAAAAAACCCAAATGTAACTATTTCATATTTTGTACACTGAGTAATTGTGTAACTAATTCAATTACAAAACTGACTTTTAAGAATAATTAAAATGAAGGTCTCGTTTAGCTTCACTTATAGATAATGCATAGCCTGTTATTTCTTTTTCCTAACATGTTGTAAAATTCTAAAAAGTAAAACATGTGAAAAGCTAAGTTATCAATATCTATGAATATAGATAAGTATATTTTACATATCTCCAACGGTATACACTGTTTTCTCTGGCATCATTTATAATATAGGATTTTAAAAGAGACAAAATCATAAATGCTACTATAATAAAAATAAAAGAATCAAATTGAAAAAAATGTAGATTTGATCGTCTGACCACGATATTTGGCGCCGCGACAAAATTTTATGGTCAAGTGACCAGCGAACCTAGTACAATCGCACCCAAGCGTTAAAAGTGTCCAATCACTGTAACGGTAGGGAAATACTATGGGCACGTTAGATTTCGTTTTGATTGTTAAATCAGGCAACTCGATAACACACATAGTATGTAACTGTTATTGACCGTTCAACTGGAGTCCAGTCCAGTCTAGAACCAGCTATTGGTAGGCAGGTAAGTATATTACCAATTTACATTGTCATATTCACAAAAATAGACTTCTTATAAACTCCCTAGCCAGTCATTAACGAAACTTTTTTTTCAGTCTCTTAATTTTTAGTCTTAATATATGGATGTTACACATCTAAATTTAATCAGCTAAATATGATTGATATAAATATCTAATGTTTTAAAATCAGAAGAAGAAAGGGAAAATTTCAGCTGTCGTGATGAACGTCTTATTTCTCATAATATATAAACTTCATTTTTCATTGAAAAAATGTTTTAATAAGTATAAGCGAAAATACATCTAAATATTTCCTGAAGCTATTGTGACCGTCTGCGTATGGACTCGTTTTATTCTGTCTTATTATTGAATCAATTGTTACATTGGAAAAAAAAATCACATTTAGTTGTTAGATATTTCTGTTATATCAGCTGTGATCCTTGGGGAACACCTTTAATGCAACGCATATAACTCGCCATGAAGAAGTTATTCAGAATGTCAACATTTCACGATATTTTATGTTTTGGATGCCACTGATAAACATGTTTCGCTATATTTCCTGAGTAATGGCGTGTCAACGTGAAGTGTAGGAAATAAAAGGAGGGATATGACATTATGTAAATATGATGTAATTTTTCAGCGCTGGGTCCTGTACCTGTCGAAATCATGACGCCTTTACTGCTAAGACAAGTGTACCTGACACTTTCCGTATTATGTTTTGTGACATCAGCAACCATGTGTCCCCACGATGACGTAACTCTATTACGATGGAGTGATGCAGCTACTTGGCCTAACAATAAGGTAAACAGACATTTAAATATTTAAATTAATATTTAACACTGACAGAATGAGCAAGTAAACGTAGTAATTCCGTTGTTGTTTAGCTTGTTCTCATTGGGTAATTACTTGGAGACACTTACTCCTCCGGAACTCCTGGTTTTATTCTCTTTGTACTTATTCAGGAGTGTCCGTGTAATTCTTAATTATGACTTTGTTAACATGTTGGAATTTTCGTTATTTTCGAAAAATTTGATGAATATTATAGCAAATTATTTTGGACCTCATCATGATCTAACCTGGAAATAATCGTTGTGTGATTTTATCTATCCGCCCAGAACACATGGCCTCATTCCCCCTCTGGTTATTTCCTCTGGTACTTAATCTCACTACCGTTCAGGTTATCTCCTTGGGATAACATGGTTTTATTTCAGTTCTGTTTATATCTATTGGAACATATGGTCTTATTCTCCTTCTTGTTGACATTCTTTTGTTTTTATATATAATAACGGTTCTGCTTAAAAGTTGGTGTTCTTTTTAAACAACATTAACTTAGCCTTATATTGTTGTGAATGATCACTTCTGGTGAAACACAGGACAGCGGTACTGACTGTAATAATGATATTTTATTTCGTGATCTTTTCAAGCTTCCAGAAGCTGGAGCTAACGTCAGTATAGCTGACCATATTCTCTTGGACGTGTCACCTCTCGCTTTGTTCGGATTAACGATAGAAAAAAACGCCAAACTTGTGTGGAGTCCGGAGGGAGATTTCCATTTGATTACAAACTTCATCCATGTAAAAGGGGCGCTCCACATTGGTTCTGAGACATGCCCATTTGAGGCAAACGCTCGGATTTCATTGACTGGTATGTAGATAGATATAGTTAGAATACGCCTAAAAACTTGATCACATGTATTTGATATTGTACTACTGTAAAGATGTTTTTTCCGATAGTTCAAATTGGTTATTTTAACAAAAGTTTGAAGCAAAATGGCTGTGTGTTTCGTAAAATTTAGGTAACGGACAATGGCTGTCTACATAAAGTTTGTTTTCAATGTATCTTGATTTGGCGATTTTATCATATTCTGAAAACAACCAGAACCCCTTCAAAAATTGCAGCAATGATATTGCTTCAGACGCTTATATCATTATATCTTTCCATCTTTAGATAAATGTGTTTATGCTCATACCATATACAAGTGTATGGTGTAAATCTTATCATTATGGTAAAAATTTACATTGTTCTCTGTAAATATCTTTCATTAGAATTAGAAGAATAATGGAGAAATGCATATAATTTAGAACGTATGACTGGGATTATGTGAGAAAAGAAGGTAGTATACTATGTCGCTAAATGATTAATTAAGATGAAATCTGTTAAAGGTGATCGTCAAGAATATTCGATACCCAATTTCGGTGAGAAGTTTGTCGGAGTGGACAATGGAGGAACACTGGAAATCCACGGGAAAAAGAAGCTCGCGTGGACTAAGTTAACTCGTACGGTTCCTCGGCTACAGAAGACCAATGGACTGGTCTTTTCCTCTACTGCTGACCGTGTAAATAAAATATATAATTAAGCTTTAACGAAAATGAGAATTTTCATATATGTTATTAAGGACATCTGATAAAAATATCTCTTATAAGCTATAATCCATCTATTAGCTTTTACAAAAATTGAAAGGCGAATTCACAGATATGTTAAGACAAATGCTTCGTTATTGTGTGTAACTTAAACATATTTCATTACATCGTGTATGTCCATGTTTACATATTCTTATAGTAATATATGTAAACTTTCTGTATTCAAAGCCAACAGGACAGCAAAAAGAGGGATTGGGTATTTACACATTTAACTCTGATGGTGGACTCTACAGCTTCAAAATATACCCAACTAGTGGAATATCAAGCACAGAGGCGACTGAATCTATTAACGATATTGTCTCCCATCTGTCGGGTGAGTTGCATGAAATAGTCATCAAACTTTAAGTATAATGAATGAAAGTAGAATAGACACATTAAATTTCAGTCTATAATATATTATTAATTCACATCAGAGGTTAAGGCTTATTTACTACATAAGGTCACTACGCAAGTCTCTTAGAATTTGTTTATGTGCAGATATTTAGTTTGTAACTGTTTGTTTGCACTAAAACATCGAGAAATTATCAACATATTCATAATCCAAACCCAAATTCAATAAAACAAGAGAAAAATATGATCAAAATAAAAAATTCCACGGAGATTCTTGAAAAAAAGTATAAGAAGAATAATACAAGGTGTTTCGGAAGGGAAAGCGTTTTCTGATTCCTCCACTACTCTGGAGTGTAAATATCTATGAAATGTGAACATTATACCCAGAATGTTTTATAACAAATCATCGTCAATAGTTATTGACATTTTACGATAGTAAACTTTGTGGCGAAATAATTTCCTTGATATGAAATACGTACCTAGAGGAACTTTACCAATTTCGTTGTTTTGAATAGTTGCAATATAGCAAAGAGTTTTATTATCTTCACACAGCTGCTAAGAACAAAATATTCCGAAGGTATAAAAATAAGTGTCATATTCTACCCAAGACAGATTAATATATGTAACTGAGATGATGGTTTTTTATTTAACAGATTAACTGATACTGTAAATTATATGAAATGTGTGATCTATGATGTGGATATTAAACTTGCCCAGGGCATCAGATAATAACATTACTAGGAGTTTAAAAGTAGGGCAGTGCCTAAACTTAGATTAAGTGTGTAACAACGCAGAAACTACACCGTGATAATATTAAATATATTTCACAGTGAAAACAATACGTTGCATAATACAAATACTTATTGAATAATCTTGATATGGAATTAACAGAAACGATTTGGCAAACTTCCATATTTACCACGTTAAGATTTCGAGATCACAAAAAGTGCTCTACACATATCATTATTTTTCTTTCACACCTTATTTCTTTGTATACATTGCAGGTATCCCCAATGGCAAAGTTGTCCTTATGGGTGCTCAGTACACTATGGTATCGGACCAAATCCAGGTTGATTTCTCCCCCGTTTTTAATGCCATTGAGGCCATAGCTGGTATTTCGCAAGGTCAAGGACAAATCAGACGTATCGGAAGATTCGACGCTTACGCCCTTGCAACTGTAAAAGGTATATTACAGTATTTATGAAGAATAGCCAAGCGCTTTCAAATACATTACCATGTACTTGCAGAGGCGTAGCAATAATGTATGATTGTATGCTTAAACATACACTCGAATTCCATTGAGATATATTTGCCCTACATTTTTAACCTTACTGCGCCCCTAGACCCCCTTAACCGGGGCTTCGCCCTTGGATCCTCTCTTGAAAGCATACGCTCTTAAAAATGTTTTGCTACGCCACTGACTTGTACGTATATATTATTATACATACTGTAAGTACCCCCAAAAGTTGTTGATTAAGGTTAGGCTTGTACATATATATCATTCTACATACTGTAAGTACCCCAAAAGTTGTTGATTGAGGTTAGGCTTGTACGTATATATTATTATACATACTGTAAGTACCCCAAAAGTTGTTGATTAAGGTTAGGCTTGTACGTATATATTATTCTACATACTGTAAGTACCCCCAAAAGTTGTTGATTAAGGTTAGGCTTGTACGTATATATCATTCTACATACTGTAAGTACCCCCCAAAGTTGTTGATTAAGGTTAGGCTTGTACGTATATATCATTCTACATACTGTAAGTACCCCCAAAAGTTGTTGATTAAGGTTAGGCTTGTACGTATATATTATTCTACATACTGTAAGTACCCCCAAAAGTTGTTGATTAAGGTTAGGCTTGTACGTATATATCATTCTACATACTGTAAGTACCCCCAAAAGTTGTTGATTAAGGTTAGGCTTGTACGTATATATTATTCTACATACTGTATATATCATTCTACATACTGTAAGTACCCCCAAAAGTTGTTGATTAAGGTTAGGCTTGTACGTATATATCATTCTACATACTGTAAGTACCCCCAAAAGTTGTTGATTAAGGTTAGGCTTGTACGTATATATCATTCTACATACTGTAAGTACCCCCAAAAGTTGTTGATTAAGGTTAGGCTTGTACGTATATATTATTCTACATACTGTAAGTACCCCCAAAAGTTGTTGATTAAGGTTAGGCTTGTACATATATATCATTCTACATACTGTAAGTACCCCAAAAGTTGTTGATTGAGGTTAGGCTTGTACGTATATATCATTCTACATACTGTAAGTACCCCAAAAGTTGTTGATTAAGGTTAGGCTTGTACATATATATCATTCTACATACTGTAAGTACCCCAAAAGTTGTTGATTGAGGTTAGGCTTGTACGTATATATTATTCTACATACTGTAAGTACCCCCAAAAGTTGTTGATTAAGGTTAGGCTTGTACATATATATCATTCTACATACTGTAAGTACCCCAAAAGTTGTTGACTGAGGTTAGGCTTGTACGTATATATCATTCTACATACTGTAAGTACCCCCAAAAGTTGTTGATTAATGTTAGGCTTGGTTTTCTGATTTATATACCGTTATCTTACTCTGATGTTGATGATTCAAGTTAAAATCTCGACATTGGGTTATGCTCAATCGGATATATATATCACGTAAGCTTTCTATATTTTACAATTGCAAAACAACCTTATATTGATCTCTCTTTTTGACCCGGATAGAACCACTAGAGAGACCTTGCTGTGAAAAGAACCCGGATTATCCCGGGACAACCTACTTGTTGACCATGTGACTCGTACCACTTCATGTCTGATCACGGTGACCCCGATCACCCAAATTTAATGATTTAAATAAATAAAAGTAATTTGACAAAACAAAGCAAGATATCAAGCTGTAACAAGTCATCGATAATAAAAAGCAACATGACAATAGGAAAAATACAAACAATATATGTAGCTGATGTGTAACAAAAAATTAAAAATATCCAAATTAAAAAAAGTAAAAATATCCGAAGTATATTCACATAATTTCAAATATTTTCACTATCCATTGAAGGTGATCCAACTAAAACAATGGAGACATTGAGCCCTGTGCAACACTACTATCAAACAGCAATGGCTAGTGTGGATGTAAACGACCTGAAGATGATAGCAATAAGCAAAACCACATCAAAAAGTATAACTGTATGGCAAAACCACAGGGTTGAGTTTAAAGTCGTGAAGAAAGCAAACAGCGTTCTTGTTCTGGACGTGGTTGATGATGTCAGCTCATGGCAAGAAGGTACAAGTTTCAGAAATGATCAATCATTAAGATCTAAACAACTGGTTTCTAGTATTTTTCGCAATATAATTACACGGAGTTTATTTTAAGATGCACATTTGACAGCTATCTATTCACATTTTCCGGTGAAATTATTCACTTGTATACCTTTTGTACAAGTTTTACGTAATTAACACGAAAAAGTAATGTTGGGATCATAATTTCATAATTGCATCCACAGGTGACCACTTGTTGCTGACTTCGACTGACTACGACATGGAAAAAGCTGAAGAAACGATCGTTGTTAGATGTACGGACTGCACCAATAAACAGGTCAAGGTGGCATGTAAGTCTTACGATTACATTAACTTGCGTTGCGTTTTACACTTTACAGTTGTCGTATTGGCAAATTTCTGGCACATACACAGTAAACATGAAATGTTACTAAATAATACAAATAGAAACAACAAAATATATACCAGTTTATCAACAAAATCTTAATTCAAACTCAAATTCGTAGGGAGTGGGGCAAAATTGAACAAAAGAGAAAGATTTATACAGAGACCCCCACCCCCAACAATGGTCAAGAAATGACACGTGTATACCATCAAATAGGTGAATTCTCTGTCGAAATAAATGAATCAAAGACAAAACGTTGTCAAACAATTCTTCCATTTTAATTGTAGATGTGATTTATACATTGTAAAATTCCAATATTGTGCTTTAATAATCTAATAAGCCTTTTGGATAGTTAAATGGTAACATTGTTAATTATGTGAAATTCTATCGGCACACTCTTTTCATCTACAGTTCTTCCACAATTCATGCACTACGGCGAAGTGGAATATAACGTCGATATGAGAGGCGAGGTGGCGCTACTGTCGCGAAATATTGTTATAGAGGGCGTCATGAATTCTTTTTGCCCTACAGTAAACGGTAACTGTAACGACTACGCTTACGACACATTTGGCGGACATGTGAAGGTAGACTTTATTAAGTATATTTTATCAAAATATTTCTGTATTTTGCAAGCTTAACCAAAACATGGAGATAGTAAAAGCAACCGAAATGTCGTATTGCTTACTGTTTTGTTGTATGCAATCATCATAATCAAAGTATTTGCTAAAGTGCAATGAACCGGGCAAATTGTAATGTTTCCAGCGATTAACCACGCTTAATGTATTCCTTTTTTTATAGATGTTGAAAGGTTTTGCTGACGTACACATTGAAGGGGCAGAGTTCTACCACCTTGGCAAACAGACAGACCAAGGTACCTAGCGTATTTTGACCTGTTCCTTGCAAGCTTAACTACCATCGAAGTCGTATCAACATTACAGTAAAGTTATTGATTTCATTTGTGTTTTATGTTTGTTGAAATCGTGGTTACTCTTAATCCACGAAAACATATAAATTTATAAAATATTTAGGATAAGACTTGTATTTGTAATTCCTTTACATTTAATATACCACAAAAATACATTGAGTTAAAAAATATACACATGCAATTCAGGTCACTATCCCATTCACTTCCATATGTGTGAGGACGTTGACAGCCCCGAGTATTCTAAGCCAACTTACATTAGGAACAACTCAATCCACCACACCTTCGGCAGGTGTGTCACAGTCCATGGAACTCACGGTCTCGTGGTAAGATATATTGAATTAATCTTAAACTTGGATCTGTTTTACAACAACTGTGAAACAAGTTATTCCGAGGGATAGTTGTTACTATTGCTGATCCTGAATGGAAGCATGCTTTGGGTCTGATTGCGGGACGAAACCGTAGTACCCAGGAAAACCCCACGTGTTAGGGAACATGACCCCTTTTTTCAAGTTCATTCAGGGAACTGAACCGCGGACGTGAAGACGAAAGGCGGGTGTGTCACTTCTGCGCCATGTAACCATTCAATAATTTAACTATATGACAAACGATTAAAGGAATGTGTTAGAAGGATTTTTGCCGGAAAATGTTCACAATTGAACCGAAATGTTTACACTTCAGTAGTGTTAAATTTGTTGAATATGTAACAAATTATTCTGACAACGCTTAGCCTTATATGTGCTAGCACTTTAAACCCCGAACAGAAATGTGAAAACAATGCAATTTACTACCTCATACAAGAAACAGGATCTTGGACATCACCTCAGCATTGACGCTCACATTTTGTATGTTGTGACTTTGTAAGATGGTCCAAAACTATGTATTCCGATGATGACAGACACAATTTAAGAATTGGTTAGCAGCGTTGTGTCGATAAAGTAATAGATATTTGTATTTTGATTCGTGAAGGACAATGCATATTACACATTTTAAAATTTCTAGTTGATGGACAACGTGGCTTATGAATCTCTCGGTCATTGCTACTTCCTAGAAGATGGCGGGGAGAAGAGAACGTTGTTTGATGGCAATCTCGGGGCCAGTACAAGAGAAGGATTACTTATATCATCAGATAGGTATATATGCTTACGTTAAGGATATTGTATCATTTTTCATTGTTGAGAGCATCTATTTGAATTAAGGCATTCCTACTTATCTGGTTAACATAGTTTGTTTGTAACTGTTGTGTTTAAATATGTATATTGTTCTTTCGTTTTCTCTAAGACTCTGATGGGACATTTTGTTGACATATTGGTGGTAATAAATGCGTTTATTTGAAAAATACAAATTAAGACAGATATAGCAAAAACAAATTTAAGAATTTTGCCATGCAAGAGCGGTAAAAAGAATGTACTCTGCTGTATTTCTCCGGTAAGATGACTGGTTATGATTGATGGAAATTTGTGTTTGGGGTTGGCTTCTTCTGAGCCGCCTTTTAAGTGGATATTAATGAGACCAAAATTGATATACTGCACTTGTTGTACACTTGGGATTTTATCTCTTCTTTCGTGACTGTCTATCTTGCCGTTATTGTCTGTAACCTTATGTGCCATAATGACTGTTGCGAGCACGTATACTCCGCACACGTGCAGACAAACATGATGATTACCATGACAATACTACAATATTACATAGACCCTCAATATCATCACAAAAATTATGATAAGTAAAATCTAGTTTAACATCATGTATGTTAGGGAACATTTCATTTATACTCCAACAGCGAACCAACCACTTTCTGGATCACGAACCCCATTACAACATTGAGGAACAATGTCGCCGCCGGAAGTCAGGTATCAAACAGTGTTGATCAATTATTATCAGCAAAGGTGTATTAAATGTCTATGAATGGAGTGAAAACAGTAGCTAGTATAACGTCATTTTACTAGTAAATTAGATCTATCATTCATCATGCTGATCACACATTATGAAAGATCACACATACACATGTGTTTTTGTGAGCAATTGTTACAGCTTTTTTTCTATATAACCCTAGGCTAAGGGATATTGGTATCTTTATCCGGATCTTCCAATGGGTTTGTCCGCCACCAAAGGGTTCATGCAAAGGGAAGAGGCTAAATACACTGCCATTACGGAGTTCTACAACAATATCGCACATTCCAACAAGGTAATGATTACACAACCTGCTGCAAACCCAAGCCGTTGGAAAGAAATATGATTAAAAGATACAGGAATAACAAACAAGAATGTAATACTTCATGATCTTAATATGTTCAAACGCCTTATTTGAAATAGACAAACATTGTCCTGTAACATTTTGATATTTCAAAGAAGGTACCATGGACGTGAAGGAAGAATAGCTTTGGTTCGGATGTGTATTCTATCAACTCAATTTTTATTATATAGGATGGACTTTTCATTGATAACGCTCTCGATGAAATTACTGGTGATATTATTATTGAAACTACTTACCAACCGAAGGAGGATCCACTTGATAAAACATCTCCGGACAAACATGTCATTCTTGAGCGACTGACTGGTAAGATATAATTAAAGGCTCTGAAAAATAGCGAATTCAAATCTGATGCAAAGTTCGGCATGTGCATTTGGCACTGTTAGTCAATACACTGAATGGATCATTCCCTTTTTAATATGATTGTACAAACATTTTTAATCCGACATTGGGTTAATTTTCCAAATCATTCAGCATTTATTGTTGCTAATATCTAAGTGTGGTTTACACATGTGTAATATGCGTATGTAAATGCGTTTTTTGTTTTAGATAAACGTTTTCAGATCGAATCACTTCCCTCAGAAAAAAACAGATATATTCATTTGACTTGTTTGCATTTTCCTGAGATTAAAGTATTAATGCTGTTAAAATTTCTTAGATATAGTAAGATAATTTGTGTTTGAAAATTGAAAACTCTTCAAAATACTTCAATTTCGTTTTGATCTTATTCTCCCTGTACTTTATCAGTATCAGTTTATATAGTTAAATCGAATTTGAGTTTGAATAAAGATTCTGTTGATGTATCGATATTTTTTATTTTCAATGAAAGTTTTGAATTGTTTAGCAGCTGACAGGCATGTTTCAGTAAATAAATCCCATTCCTTTACATTCCTAAAGATGAATATCAGCAAAAGTCTACTTACTTCGAATGCGGACTGATGATCTATTTAATATTTGTATATGTATACTTAACAGTGTCAGCATGTATATTATTTTCTTCATAAAAGTTGAAGAGTTGCTTCTCTTGAACCTTCAAACAGCAAGCACTTCCCTAACGCATATTGTCGAAAACTCCGTCAATTGCTTACCATGGACGTTTTGGCATTGTCATTACTTATTTTAAGGTAAACATACGAGGAAAATGCTGAAAGGGATAAAATCTTTTCGCAGGACACATCTACATCGGTAAAGGATGGTCTCGATCTCATGGAAAAAACAGAAACTGCCTTTAGCAGTAATTGAATCGTACACCTCATCTTTTCCTCAGATGTTTCTAAGACCGATAATCAATCGACTGATTTATCATGGTCCCAATTCTTCAAGTATGATTCGTTAGGTTAGGGTTTCTGTTAAACTATTTACTCTCAATAAACCATTGGTACAGGGATAGCGTTTTCCTTGCATCGTTTTTCATTGAGTAAAACAAAATTTCATCTTTTATGCCTTCATTTTGTTACTGCTCATTAATTGAACATCTCCTTATCGAACATTCACTGCTTCCTTTTGTGCAGCCTACCAGAACGACAGAAATGCCTGGATTAAAGGAGGCTGGCTTACTTTACTTAAATCATCGTAAGTGATAAAAATTACCAGGCAGAAACAGATCTGATATTAAGAACAAATTCAATTTGTTTTGGATGATAAATTAAAGCAAAGAAAGAAACAGTATTGCCTTTAAATTTTCCCTATTTTCCCTATTGTAATAGTATAATCGAAACAAGTTTTGCTTTCATTTTGCAGAGGATTTCATTTGATTTACTTTTACCTTTAAACTTTTATGATTCTCTGTGTAAAGTTTTCTTTTCAATCAATCCTCAGACTTGCTGGGAGTGTCACGTCACTTGTCCTTGTTGGGTATGGTCATTTTTTTTCAATTAGAACTTCGTATGATATTTTCATGGATAACGTAAACGATAAAATAGAGCTGATACTCTTGCTCATAAGATTAAAAATTCCTGATAATCCACGTGGTGTGACGTCTAAATCAAATCATACTGATCTAATGCCCTCACGTTGAAAGTCCACAATATGTCCCGTGCTAAGTATTAGCTATGAACTTTACGCATTTACATATTAAGCAACTACACCTTTAATTGATTCTATTTATTTTAACGATCGGTTTAGATGTACCGGTATTTATGAAAAGAAATGGTTTCTTCTTTTGGGCCTTGATATACGGGAAGCATGCTCATTAATTGTTTCATATATGTATTATGAAAAAAAAAGTTACCCACACACTGATCTGTAGTATTTCCTACAAAATGAAAGAAGTGCGTGTTATCTAAGTTAATGCAGATACCATATGTCCTGTATTTAGTGAAGGTAGCAACTCGCGTGTTTTACGAAAATCCAAGTTTTTGTAAGTTAATTAGTTTAAACAAAATCCATTACTTTCATTAAATACGTCATTGTAGGTTTATGTGCTTTTTTTCAGGGCGTTTAGTCAAAAACAATTTCTTTCAAAAGGGGTAGTTCTAGGAGAGACGAATAATATTGGCGACCCTGATTGGGGGTTTGGTATGGAAGGACGGAGAATGTTGCAACGTTCCGTACCGCGAAGATATGATTAGTAAGTAAAATTATTCATACTTTATAATGACTTAGCAATATATACAATGGTTTCATTATGGATTATTTAATCATTTTCTAATAAATATGAAAGGATATGTTCTACCACAGCGCTAAGAGAATAATCTTATTTTATATAGAACGTAAGGGTTCTAACCGTGTCAATTACAAAATGGTCTTAGAGAAAACGTGTGGTATAATGTAAAAAAGGAAACTTCCCATGTGACATTTCTGGAAAGACTTTTGGTAAATGAAAAACAAATGGATTTTATCCGTGTTCAATTCTAAAAGAATATGGACAAACAAGTGAAATGTCTGATGCACTGGACTTTTCTCTTTTTCAATGAGCTCTTCTCTTTCTGGAACATCTCGTCGTGCTTTTTCTTTTTACACATTTCCTGTACTTGCGTTAACATTTCATTATAACGAACATGATTTTCAATTTACAGTAATGTACCTATCCAAGGTGTAGCGTTCTATGTTGGACCTTCTTACGTATTTGATACGTTCTTTGGGAATTTCACGTCGGACCAATACAGAAAGGCAGGTGCACTGGGATTTAAGAGAAACAATAAAGTCAGTACTTCGCCAATCAGTGGCAGCAAAAACGTCAAATTTGGATTCCCTGATTCAGTGAGTATCAACCAATAGAATTAGCAAGACGTTGGTGTGATTTTCAATGAGTTCAAATCGGGTGTAGTTATGTGCATATCCAATCAAGTACATTCAATCAAGTATCTATGTATGAATTGGTAATATATACATCGTTTCTTTTCACCAGATCCTCACTGGTAACAGAGTTTATGATGGTAACAGCAGCATACATGGATTCGGCGACTTGGATGGAGATTTGGCCTCGAAATTTGTAGATATGGATGGAACGGTTACATCGATCCCCGACAGTTCTGTTGTAAGGAACGAACCGTATATGGTTACAACTGACTGCTGGTTTCGTGATTCTTGGAACTTGGCTGTTTGTCCTAACAGATATATAGAGGTAAACCACCACAAGTTAAACTTAGCCCTTCTCTTTAGTCTGAGAAAAAACGGGTTTTAGTAAACGAAGTGTTAATTGGATTATCGTTTATTATCAATAGAACAATGGATTGAAATAACGACGTTACGTTTTATTAAAATTATAGAAATGAAATGAAAAAAACCCAACTTTGATCGTTCAGATGAAGTTTCAAGTCAGGTCATCAGGGGATGACTCGCTGAAGCCATTTGTGTCACGTGACGACATACCAGAGCACCCGAGACATCTTTCATCAAGTGCAAATGCTTTCACTAACAGTTTCTCAATGATAGCTGATGGAAAACATAGCTATTCTGTTCACTGGTCTGTAAGGTCGCCGTCAGAGTATCAAATTGTAATGCGTGGAATGGTAAGGTAAGCATCGAACTCCCCTATCTGTTTTTTTAAATAAAAAATTCAGATCCATTATAACAATGTAAGCACTAAAATGACAAATAAGATTGAGGAATCTAAAACCTGAACACAAACAATTAAATTTTTGTTTCTTTGAATTTTTTAATATTTTTTACTGCATTCAAAATTGTTTCCAATGCTATTTCCATGGCGTAAGATAATTCTTGAATACTTTAGTTTAATATAGTCGGATATGACAATTACTTCATATAATTTTTTTCAAATTATATCTTACGCTTCAAGTCATATAAATGTCTTATGGAAGCACAAAGTTAATATTCTTTTTAATGAGTCATGCGGTTGAGTTCTAAAACGAAATACATCCCGATCTTATAGTGATAGATTGAAGTGGTCGGGTGGCGCAGTGGTTACACACTCGCCTTTCACCTAGCCATCCGGAGTTCGATTCCGGAAAGACGTGAAAAGGTGTGGTGTCGCCTGCCCGACCATGTTGGTTCTCCCTTCTCCCTGGGTACTCCAGTTTCCTCCCACAGTAAGAACCCCCTACACGCTTCCATGCGGGCCAACAACAGTGATTAAACTGAAAGCTTGTTTCGCAATTGTTGGAAATAAATTAAATTTATATTTAAGTACATTTTATTTACATTACTGCATTGTCTGTCTACACAAGTTAAAACCCATTTAATGCAGTGTTGATGTTAAAATGACAACTATTGCATAATATCTCCTTTTGATAAACATGATTGTACATCACATTTTAACAACGCAGAGATTATCCCATACGCATTGGATTCTGCCTATCACGCAACGCACAGTTTATCCTGATGTCATGGTATCCTAAAGTTGCTTGGGGCACGACAGCGTGGATTAAAGTGAATAGCATACAGGAGATAGACGACGACACTGTAGGGGCAAAATACCACTATAACAGCAACACAGGGTATGTATATAAATCTAGGTATTCCGTTCATTTTCAAAGAAGAAATTTTCAAGAACAAGATAATCATTTTTTATCTCCGTCAAAGCACTGAAAAATTGGTCACATTTACTGAAAATTTGAAATCACATCATGCAGTTTGATATTCACTTTTTGGCTTTATTGCATTTAACTTTAAATCTGTTTTGAAAAGGTGTTACTCACTTGTGTGATAGATTCTTTTAATCTACAGCCGATGTGTCGTATGTAAATAAGATTGAATACAAGCAGCAGTATAAAAATGTTACTGTAGGATGTTGTATGTAAAGATGAGGACTCTGGAGGACCGAGCAGATAGAAATTACTATGACTGTACGAGCAACACATGTCCCATATTACGTATACGTATCACAGCAGGCAATCTAACCGACGCAGATTGTAGTCAGAGAGATACACCAACACCCCCTGCTCCTCAGGAAACGACTTTGGACTCTGAACAAGTAAGGTCTACACTACCATACTATCCACCTCATCCATAATTCTGATAACCCAAACAGAGTTTGAATAAATGATGGTATGTACTATCGTTTTATTTTATTTTTTTAATTTCCTGTATAAAAAGATGCTAATTCAATGTAAATCTTTGTCAATCCAAGTGACATAACAGACACTACCAGATATATATTAACGAATTTCGATACACCGTTCCCCATATCGCGAAGGAATATATCTACAAATGAGACTATTAACAATAACAGTCATAGTTACAATCGCTACATTTACTAACATGTCTTTACCAAGATCCACTGGAACAAATATACGGACGAAACAATTTTAATTTTAAAATTAATATTCCATTTTTTTGTAGATGACAGTTATGAACAGTATACAAACCCAAACTGACGTATATTATAACGGACCAGATGCGGTAAGGATTTATCAATGTATGCAAACAATTTCGAATTAAACAACATACATTGTTGCTTACCAATATGACCAATATCTTAATAAGATGCTGATGGATATATTTCGTCATATACTATGCACTATGCACAATGTATGTTGTATGATCCCTAGGACTGGGGTGCCGGTCTAACTCTGCCCTTCACCACAAGAGAAGTAGTGGATGGTGGATATAGCGAGTGGACGGAATGGGCAGAATGTAGCGCCGAGTGTGGAGGTCTGTACAAACGAGGAAAATAATAAAGAAACTACAAATTAAGAATTACAAGTAAAACCGCATCGTGAATTATCCCATTGTCTTGTAACTATTAGCAAAGAGTTAACAAGTTTTACCAATTTTAATTTGTCTACTTTATTTTGCTACTAACAATTATGTCAATGTCATTTTCATGGCTTCTATTTAATCCCTGAGATATTTTGTCTCTCAAATTGTTTTGACCTCTTACTTTGAATATAGATGTCTGGAAGATATCGATTCAAACTCTCTTGTGTATTAATTCCTAACGGATTTACGTGCTATAGGCTCTGTATGAAGATGTATTTGATCAATAGGTGGAACGGTTATTAGGAATCGGGCGTGCGACAGTCCAAGTCCAAAAAATGGAGGACAAGAATGTGCTGGTCTGAATCAGGAAATGAAAAGTTGTAACACCCATATTTGTCGTAAGTCTGTTTAATCTAACAGTAAAAAATGAGATGCAGTATTCATTAGTGGATTTCATTTTATACAGATAGTTTCATAAAACATGTCATGGCTATGACGGCCTTATTTCCCGAAGCTGCATAGTTTTATTCTATTTTATTCTATACAACAACCAGACACTATTATCAAACATACACATTGTTTACGAATGTTAGACAAAGCAACTAGAGTCACATTAACGAGTTTTTACATGATTTAACTATCTTCTTTTATTCTTTCCATCCAGATGTAGACGAGGAACAACCTAGACGGTATGATTGAGTTATCTACCCATAACATAGCCCTTTACTGCCTATATTTCTCAGTATAACACACACTTTCATCATACTCAGTACTCTGTATATATGATATATATATATATATATATACTAAAACGAAAAAGAAACGCCGTGTAACCTAAAAAGATTCTTTTAAATGATATAATTTAATGTTACATTATTTCATTCATTTTTGTATACAATTTCATCTGTTTGGAACCATTTGTTGAAGGTTCTATCGATTATCAATGTTAATTATGCCAAAAATATCCCCCTTTTAGCGATGACCCAACTTGTATTGCGCAACACGGCCGGACATTTCAGTATCTTGTGTGTCCTCCATGGGCAGCTGTCGCAGCCCTGATTCTTCTATGCATGGAATTCATCAGGGTGTTAACCCTTGCAATGGGGATGTTATTCCATTTTTCATGCAAGGCACGTGTGAGCTGGACCAGATTAGTGGGGGCATTTGGACGTCTCCTAACTCTCCTATCCAATTCGTCCCACAAATGCTCAATTGGAGACAAATCTGGACTGAATGCTGGCCAATCGATTGGGATTACGTTATTGTTGGCAAGAAATTGCTGACAAACTCTAGCGACATGGGGCCGGGCATTGTCTTGCTGGAATATCAGGTTCCGTGCTTGCACACATGGCACGGCAATACCTTATGCCGGTTAAATTACCGTCAATCGTGGCATGGATGTAAATTGCTTAATTCGAATCAAACTTTGAAAAATCAATCCGAATACTTGAACAGTATCAAATAGACTGAAAATTTCCATTTGCGAACTCAATTACCTTCCCCTGCACGGGATTCTTGTATTTTAGCACCTGCCTCGCACGGAGCGCGGAGGTCAGGTATTGTGTGATTTTAAACACGTGTACCTAGTGACCGCGAACAACACATCAACTTGTCATTATTCTAGGCCAAGCAATAAATCATTTGTAGTATATTTAGTGTACCCGGCGTTTCTTTTTCGTGTTAGTATATATATACATTTTCCTAATCTTTTGATTATCTTGTACAATACTGTAGCATGACTTTCCCCCGGTAACCTATATCTAATCATGTAACGTGGCCTGACATAGTTCATCATAACCTAGCCTTGACTTGGTTACATATTATGAACTAAACTTCATTATGAAGAGTACCAGATTTTACAACAACAAATTATTAACGACACTTAACACTAAGTCCTTACTACAACCATGAAACTTTTTCTAGAGAAATAAGAAATGACGTTAGTGTAATGTAATTGATTAAATTTTGAACTTCAACAGAACTTCAGTATACCACAAGTCCTATACACTGTATTAAAATTATGCAATTAGTCCATGGTTCCGAGATACGATGTTTTAAAAAACATATTTGATCGCTATTAACATTTTTATTGCAGCTTTTTCGGATGGTTTTGGGGAAAGTGACCGTTTCGTCTACATATAAAGGACGCGTTTGTTTCAAAGACTCTCATCACAACTCAATACCAGTAAATATGATAGATAATAACAGATTGATGATTCTCTGTGACTCACTACAGAATATTTCCTTTCATCTGTTAAATAATATAATGCAAATATGATATTTCGTTTTAATCAAACATATTATATTGCATGTATTTATTTTTTCTATGTAGAGGCTGGTGTTACGATACAGGTGTAACCTTATGAAAAATTTATCTGATACTTTTTTTTTTATAAATATGTATACGTAACAAAAACTATCTTTGGACTGGTGTAGTGATGTTAATATTGGTATACTAATACTATACTTCCTGTAGTCTAAATGAGACCCATTCATTTTTCAGTAAAAAAAATTCTGTTGACCAGTCCGTATTTTCTTTTGTTTATGCAAGAATCTCATTTGAATGTAAGAATTACATTTGCTCATTTCATTACAGTAATAATTACCATAACTTTAGTATGCATATCTCCCACTAATTCCCATTCATTTGTATATGATATAAACGAAAAAGAGAGACCCCATAACCCCCGTAGGGAGCCCCTCTACCTGCCCGTAATACCTACTCACGACCTGAAACACGTCCTTCTTTATCCAAGGTGTTGGGCTGAGCAGACGTGTTACACCTGTGTGCCGATTCTCAACGTTTACAGGGCGGTATTCCCCATTCTGTTTGGAATTTTTGTTTATTTCAAAGCGGGTTTTACCGTTTTGTTTCTTTTCCCATTTGTTTGCTACGTTGGCCTGTTTATTTCGGCCTTCGTTTTTCTCCGCTCGTGTTCAGACACGCGACGGTGAATTTTCGTATTTTTTCGATTTTGGTTGCTTTTAATTACGTGTTTTTTCTGTTAATTTATATTCAGTTGATTCATGTTTTTTCTTACACTGGTGTTGCTTTACAGCAATTGATATAAGCTTTCGAATTTTTATTTCTTTTGCTGTTGCTTTAGTTCTGTGTAGCCGAGCGTCATGACCAGTACCGGTCTTCGCCGCGGTATCGTGAATGTGTGCGGTCACTTTTATAGTGAATCCGACCCCCGTTCCGCGTGTCCCCAATGCCGCACCTGCTCAGAGGAGACAACCTGTGACTCCTGTTTACTTGGTTCTCCCTCTGGCAGTGCGGCGGCTACCGTTAAACATCCTTACACTGGCCCGAAGAGTAAATTTTCCGGGGTAAGGGCAAGCGCAAGTCTACCTCTGGGTTGTCTAAGGATGTTGCCCACGGTGGCTCCTCCCTCCCAGCCTCGGTCTGGTTCTTTGGAGGAGCAGCCCCCTCGTAAGCCTTTTCAGAGTTTGCCTTCGGTTAGGGGTGTGTCCCAATCATTGGTAACTAACTCGTTTGATGCCTCCGGTGTACCGACAGTTTCTGGGTCTGGGGAGGGTCCATGTCCGGTTCCTGGGTTTGCCCCGCCTCCAGGCGTTGATGCACCACCCTGTAATCCTTTGGGTTTACATGTGGGGCCTCTGGTTAGCGAGTCTGGCGGATGGGACCACAGTCTTCCTGCCCAACCGGTCTTTCGTCGCCCGGTTCCGGTCACTCTGTGACTGGTACGGGTTTATCGGTGTCCGGGAACCCGGGTTCTACGCCGGGTTTTGGATTGGCTGATCACATGGGTTTCCGGGACAACTATACCAGTGGTTTGGGGACTCCATATCCCAGCAGTGACGGTTCCAACCCGTACATGCCTGGGTCAGCTTCCGGTGGAAGTGGCGGTTTTCCTTCGGCCATTGGTCAGGGTTTCCAGCCCCAGGCTAAGGCAGGCCAGTGTGGTCAACCCTGGGATTACTTCCTACCATAAGGTCCATCTTCCTACCCTCAAGGGTTTGCATTTGGTCCCTTTCCGTTCCCTCACTGGAACCCTTCGGGTTTGCTTTCCTAAAACCAGCAGAGATACGGTGGTTTGTTGTCGCCCCCTTCTTCCCAACAATCCTCCCGTTCGGAGGCCCATTCCGCCGGCACTAAGCGACACCGGGCTGGTAGTGCTTCCGTTTCTCGGGCGGTCCCCTCTGCTCCTTCAAAGGGCTTGGGGCGTCCAGATTCGCTGCATGCCCTAAGGCCAAAGTGGGTAAACGCCCTACTAAGCGTTCCCAACCGGAGTCCACTCAGCCCAGGCTGGAGGTGGCTCCGATGGCTACCTCTTCGGCACCGAAGGTATCCCTTCCCCAGGATGCGGATACCTCGGAGCCAATGGATTATGAGGGATCGGGCACGGCAGAGTGTTACGTTTTTGATCTGTTACCTGGGTGCTCTGAGGTTGATGACCTCCTATCAGAAATCTCATCTTCAGATGGTGCTCCTTCTGATGGTGAGCCCCAGTCGTCAGATGAGGCTGAGGATGAGGTGGTAGCTGTGGCTTCCCACCTCGTTTCGGGCATGCGTGCATTGCGCACTGATGTTGCCTTCATCATTGGCGAGAAGGATTACCCACCTCCTTCTGCGTCATCGGTCCCGGAGGCCACCACATTACTGAGTTCTGTGGTACCTCCTAAACCTGCTCAGCGCAGTGACAGGCGTGCGTCGTCGAGAAGAATTCTTCTACACGGGCTCCTGTGTTTCCTGGGTTGCAACTCGGGGTGACGGTTTGTCAGGCTTGGGACAGACCTCAGTTCCCCCAGTTACGATTCTAGCCGCTTCTAGTTGAATACTTTCTATCAAATTTGACTGGTTTGTCGTTATATTATCCCAGACGATACTGGCGTATTCTAGAACTGGCCTTATGAAAGAAAAGTACATAGTCTGCAAAGACTTTCTATTCACTTCAAATTTTAGTTTTCTCATAAGTCCTATTTTTGTACTAGCCTTTTTGATTATATTATCAACATGATCTGCCCAACCCGCCATTTTCAGATAGTTCAACGCCAAGATGTCTATGGGAGTTAACCTGCTGAAGAGGAAAATTGTTCATTAACAAAGGGGGATGGTGGGGTTAATTTTTTTCTTACTTATTATCATTGTTTCTGTTTTTGATGAGTTAAATTTAACAAGCCATAAATCAGACCAATCCTGAATTTTGGCAAGATTTTCATTAAGAATATTTGCACAGACATCTGGCACATCAACAACGAGATATAAAGACGTATCATCGGCAAATAGTTTAATAATTACATTAATATTGTCAACTATATCATTAATAAAAATTAGAAAGAGAAGCGGACCTAGAATCGAGCCCTGGGGAACACCAGCTTTAACTTCTGTCCATTCTGAAGATCTACCATTTTTAACCACTCGCTGTTTGCGATTTAATAAGTAATTTTCGAGCCATATAAGCAATTGACCGTTAATTCCAAAGTTAAACAGCTTACGTAATAGACCCCGGTGCCAAACTCTATCGAAGGCCTTGCTTATGTCACAAAAGACCATCCGTATTTTTTTCCCTCTATCAAGTGCGGAATAAATATCATTAGTTATAGATAATAACTGGTTGACAGTGGAATCACCTGACCAGAAACCAGACTGACATGGAGTTAACAGAGAATGATCAACAACGAAATTGTAAATATATTTAAAAACACATCTTTCCATCACCTTTCCAACGATGGAT